TCCCTCACACCTGACATCCGTCTCAGTCAACTTGCAGAACCAAGAAGCTCTGCTGTGTGTAGCCTGTTTGTGCACTCTGCTAAACTGATCCAGGTTCCTGACTTACCATAACAAGGAAACTAACATATTTTATCATTATTACTTTGAAGAACTTGAACTAAATGCAGACTTGTTTCTTAAAAGCAAGCACAGATACTATCAGGGAGGGCTGCTGGCTTTCCAAACTGGAAATGTGTTTAGTATTGCAGCAGTGTATAATATATGCTGATCAGACCCCAGGCATCTTCTGCAATAGCTTGGATAATATATTGGATAATATATGCTTGCCAATGTGGACTCTGTAGGTAATGAAACAGTCACATTTAAACAGTTTTGAAAAGCAGCTTGAATTTTGTCCCATGATTTGTAATACTCCTCCTCTGCCCCAAAGTTCCAAAGACTGGGCTGCTGTGAGGTGCAGCTGCTTTCTTTGTGGATCAGGACAGATGTGTGATTCACTGCACAGTTTGGCAAACTCAGGAGGGGGTGGTATTTATCATTCTATCCCAGGCTCCTGAGCTGGCTTGGGACTGGCTTCTGCAGTGTGATTTGCTGGCAATCTGTCAGGCCTTGGACCACAGTCTCCTCCTCCTAGCTGCAGTCACTTCAGAGAAGCTTGTGCCGATTCCTAGCTCTTCTGCCATAAAGTGACCTGCCTGCAACATGAGACAGAGGTACGTCTCTCATGTCTAGCAGGGAAAACATGAACAAGAATGGGATCAGGAAGATGCTGCAGGAAAGGTACATACATGTGGGGGGGGTAGTTGATTTTGTGTGTGTGTGTGTCTTCTCATTGCAAATTCTAAGACCCTTAAGTTGGACCCTTCCAGTGACAAGGCAGGGAATTTACATCTCTAGCCGGTGTGGAAACTAACCATGCCCTGGAGAACTACAGATGAGCAGAATAGATAGCACAAAATTGCTTAGCAGTTGTACTGACTGGAATGCAATCTTCTGCACTGCAAGGTCATGAGAAAAATCCGTAGTGCATTTTAAACAGTAGCAGCTTGCTCTGTGCTGTGCTGATGGAACTGGGTGCTCTTCTGCATAAAGTTATTAAGGATGTATTGTGTGTGCACTGGGGAGTCACCATGTAGTTTTTGCTTTTCAAACTGTGTACAGCCTGATTCTGTAGATAGCTGTAAGTCCCACTGAAGTCAATAGCACTTACATTTAAGTAAGTGTGCATAGAACTGTTGCCTGTGTCTGCAAAGAACTTACTGTAGAGTGCACCTAGGGTGACTAGTTCTAGCATATCCAAAACTGGAAAAAAAATATGTTGGTTTCTCTGAGCCAGCAACAATTTTTTAGGAAGCAGTTCTGCACGGGGATGCAGATATCCTGCAAAAGCTGGGTGGCAGGGTCTCCTATGAGCACAGAGAGATGTCAGGCAGGATGGCCATTTACCCTAGCATATGGGCCTTTTTAGCTGTGGTTCTGCCTCTCAAACCACTTTTGACACTGATTCAGCAGGGCTTCAGTTGCAGAAATAAGTAATGATGGCTTGAGTGTTTTGGAATCCGCTGGGACTGGTAGTGAACGCTTGTTTGTATGTTTGTTACAAACTTTAATTCCACTGAGGCTTGAGCCCTGAACAGTGTCTATGGATGCAGCCCTATGCCACTTACCTGGGAGTAAGCATCAATAAATCTAGAGGCACCTGCTTTTGAACAGCCATGCATAGGATTGTGCTGCAAAGCTTTGTTGGAAAACTAAAGAAAATATGGAAAGATAGTGAGATACATGGGGACAGAGGTCATTTCGGGGGGGGGAACGCAGTTCCCCGGGTGAGGTGCAGGGGGCGGGGCACATGATGAAGCCCCGCCCCCTGCTTCCGGCCGCCCCGCTTCTGACCCTCATTCAGCCAGGAGGAGGCAGGAGAAGAGGGAGGGTAAGTTGCTTCCTCCCTGCCTCTCCCCACCCCTGCCTGCCTGGGGCCAGGGAGGGCCTTCGCGGGGCTTCCTTGTAATGAGTTCCCCTAGCTCTTTTTCTACTAAATGACCCCTGCATGGGGACATCCAGACCAAGGCAGTGAAGTGACCTTTAAACTCAGCCTGTCTATGAATGCAACCCCAAGAAAGCAAGGGATGCCTAAATCCCATGGAACTATGACCAAATTATTCTGCACTGACATTCCATTGATTTCAGTGGGATTTAGGAACCCTGACTTTCTTTGGACCGCAGCTTAAATTAATACTTTTTCAGTGCAGCTAATTGAAAGCCAAGGGAGCTAACTGAAAGCCAAGGGAATTTGTGACTTCATGCCATTTCTGAGAATTACATCCCATCCAATCACATAAATTAAGGCAACTGTATTCTGAAGCCTGGTTTCCTACAAAGGATAAACTGATATGCTAACTAGCTAGCCTTGGCCAATCTACAAATGTTTTAAATAAATAAAACTGTCCCATCTGCAAAACTGAAACAATACAGAGCTGTTGTATGATTGAAAAGAAAATGATAGCATGGAATTTTCACATTACTTGTGAAGTTGCCTTTCACCAAGCCAGGACATAGGTGCATTAAACTCACTATTGTCTATTCTGATTGACAGCAGCTCTGTGGGATCTCAGGTGGAAAAAGGTCTTTCCTTTCTACATAAGCTCCTTGAACTGGAGATGCCATGGACTGAACATGGGACTATCTGCATGTGAAGCAAATGCTCTAAGCTTGAGCTATAGGCCTTCCTTCTAAGAGGAATAATAAGCAACAAGCAGTTTAACTGCTGGTTAATATCAACATGGTAATATGTTGATTTGGGGTAACTTTTTGGTTGCTTAATATTTTCCTTGGCTTGGGACAAGAATTACTTGAAAGGTGAGATGGTTAATGAGAATGAGGGCAACAGCACCAGAAATGTCACAGGGTATGGGGGTAATGATGAGTCATTAGCCATCCTATAACACTTGTGCAAGATCATCTCTCCTTATATATAATTGAATAGTGGGTGCCAAAGTTCTAATTCTAAAATGTACTCCCTTAGTGTATGGCTGATGGCACTGCTCCTCAGCATATATCGCCACCAATCAGAAGGCAAAGCCCAGGTCCCGCCCACACCACAACTGCTGCGACAACCAGGTCTTTTGCATATGGAAGCTGATTGGACTTCCCTCCATTCCCCACCTCAAACTCCCCCCCCCCCGCAAGGCAGTTGGAATGTCAGTTGCATATGGAATCTGCTGTATTCTGGTGGTGTGCAGGTCCCAGGTTCATGTTTTAAAAGCAGACTGACACTGTTTGCCCAAAGCCAGAGCACTCTCCCAGAGCCTCTTTCTAGCTCCCGTTGTATTTATTTCCACAACGGGCCTTATTTCTAGTTCTATAGATAACATGGAAAACTAGGTTGCATTCCTCACATTTTATGTTTTAAATTCTTCCAGGTTTCTGAGAGAAAGTGATATTTTTTAATTGTTGGGCTAATATCAACTGATGATAAGAATGCTGTTTGCATTCTCTAGCACCTCTCCCCATTCCTCTGGCAGTACCAACTCCAGTATCAAATACCACCTATTTGTAACCCTGTCAAATGGTGTTATCCTAAGCCAAGTTACATCTTTCTAAGTCCATTGAAGTCAGTGGGCCTAGAAGGGTGCAATTCTGCTTAGGATAGCACTGTGCGGGCAATGATCCCTGGTGAGCGACCAGAATCATCTTGGATATAGGGTTGTTTTTTTAATTAGGGAGAAACTAAATTACTAATCTAAAGGAAAGATTCAGCCCACCAACTATAACCAGAAATATGAACATCTGAGATCAGTGCTGACAATCGGGGTAATACAATCCATTCAGCTTGGTATTTGAGTAAGTAATATTTTGCCAGTGTGTTAACTCACCATCTGAAGTTTTTCGAATGCTTCACGGCTAGATGAAATAAACCAGAGTAAGGGTGGCTTGAAGAGAGGTTGCTATCTATGAGGAATGGACAGCACAGTCATCCCATTTAATTCAAATGGACTTAATCTCTTCTAAGTGATCTTAAAACTGTAACCTTAAGACAAGATGAACAGCTGTTGTTATGTCTTTGAGAAGAGATGGAGATAGTGGTGGATCTGAGAAACCACCTCCATTGGAGAATGTGGGCTACTGGACATAGCTCCTCAGAGCCTATGAAAAGTCCTATTCATTCCTTAAACCAGTGCTGTGACTAAACCATCCTAAACTGAGTTATACTCTACAAAGCCCATTGACTTCAATGGACTTAGAAGAAAGTTGTAACTGTGTTTAGGGTTGTGACCAGTAGATTAATCTCTACTATATCCTTGTAAATGGCCTGGTAATCATAGCATTGTAGCTTGGGAGATTCAAAAAGTTCTGGATTGCATGTTTACAAGTCCACCTCCTATTGTTAATTTATTATGTGTTTATGGAGTGATCAAGAATTGAACTGAAGAAAGTTTATGGACCCTGTTTTAAAGGTGAAGGATGCTTGTTTTTCTTAGATCCATTTCCGTTATTTCTATGTATCTAGGTTTCTGGAACTATCTGGATTTACTCACAATCAGGTAGACTGGTTACAGAAAAATTCTGGCTCAAGAACCCATGGAAATGGGGTTTCCTTATTCCTTCCTGATATATTTATGCTATGGCCAAATGAGATTAGATTCATCCTAGACAACTTGTGCCCAGCAACGTGCTTTTAAAAATGTATGTCTTGAAAACACATAACCCAGTCACAACCCAGGAAATAGCCTTAGTTATCTGTTTTGCTACACTTTCCACACATTTTTGAATCTTGCAAATCCCAAAACATGTTGGGATTGAAGGATGAGGTCTTTCTGGAAGCATTTCAAGTAATAAATTCCTTTTAGGGTTTGTGTGTTTGTTTGTTTTGGTGTTTTTAACATGCAGGCAGTAAGCTCCAGTTGTAATTGTTGTATTTTCTTAACTTCAGCGTGATGATTTCTTTGACCTCTTCTAGTCGCATTTGAGAAGCTTTGGTGGCTGAACAAAGAAACGTAGCCATGGCTGGACCTGGCAGGCAAATCAAGACACTCACATCAGAACTGAATAAGGTCTGCCCTGATGAAGGAGATGGCTACTCTGTGTATCCTAAGAGCTACTATGACCTTGATGTGGTCCCCAACCTCAGGCGGAGTAACAGTACCTTCAGTAAGAGCAAAAGGAGGACTCACTTCACACTCAGCACCAATGAAAAGGCAAGTTCATTGGAAAGGAGATAAATGGCTCATGGTAGAGGGATGGAGTGGTGGTCTATCATGGGATGGAAACCATAAATGCAGATGGAAGGGAAAATAGTTTGATTCTGCACCATTTTGAGTTGTATTAATTATATAAATTTGCAAACAAAAAAAAGGAGTATGTTATTTGGCCTCTGCTAGTAATGATTGCTATTTTGTTCACTGTTCCCACTGCAGGAGAATATTAGCTCATGGATCCCTGAAAACATTCGGAAAAAAGAATGTGTTTATTTTATCGAGAGTTCCCAGATGTCAGATTCTGGGTAAGTGAGCTACCTTTATTCTTTCCTCTAAAACAGCCTTCTTCCTCTTCCTTCTCCTCCATTTTTGCTGTTGGCAGCAGTGTTCCCTCTAAGCTGAGTTAGTGTGAGCTAGCTCACAGTTTTTTAGCCTCTGGCTCACACATTTTTGTCTTAGCTCAGGAAGGGATGGTTCCAGAGTAACCTAATTTATGCAGTAGCCAAATCGCTTGCTCACAACTTTGATGCCAGTTGCTCACAAAGTAGAATTTTTGCTCACAGGACTCCACAGCTTAGAGGGAACATTGGTTGGCAGCTGTCATGGAATTAGGGCCTGGACTGAGCCTCAGTCTCCTGTTACTTTGATTTCTATAGTAACTAGCCTCTATAGTTGAATCTTTGGTTCTGTTTCCCAGGAGGCTTCAGGACTCCACTGGTGCTGTGGCCTTCTGGTACTGATAGCCCTGTACATGATTTTTGCCTTAAAGGGTGTTTATACAGGAGATAGTGATGCCACTATTAGTGTCTTAGAGTTTAAACAGTATATCAGATAGGGTATCAGAACCTAGCTTCCTTGACTTTCAGAGAGCTTCCTGACTCCAGAAAAAAAGGGGGGGAAGGATTTGGGTCAATTCATAGAATCAGTTCTAGTTTGACCTGCATCAAATCCATGGTAGTCCAATGTGATTTTTCTGGAAAAAGAGGTGCCGGAACTCTCAAGAGGGAAATGAAGTTTTCAATCTGTACACTGAAAACTCATGAACTTTTAAACATTTACAAAAGAATTTTGTCAAAGAGGTTCCGGAACTCTGTTTTGGTGCATTCCCCCAGAAAAAAAGCCCTGGGTACATTAGTAGGTACGTTAGCAGCTATAGGCCCAAGAAAGATATATACCTCTACAAATGGTCAGGGCTGCTCATCCGTGCCAAGGGGCCTTGATGCCGTAGCTGGAATATGTTCCTTATTTGAGTGTACACTGTACATTGAACTATAAGTATTGAATTAAGAATTATGAGTCAATTTTGTATGCTGCATACCAGATGCTTATATGTTTGGAAGGTTTTACATTTTGGGTTTGAAGTTCAATAAATAAGACCATGGTTGGACCACCTTGCCCTGAGGGCCCATTTGAATGTTTCACCCCGACCTTGTTTGGGCGGTGAGCATATTTTAGCTTGCCCACGGAGCCAAACGGACCCAATGTGGCTTCAGATGGCTCTACAGGCTCTGATGCCCCCTGGCGACTCATCAGATGAGCTTGTAGAAGATTGGCATAGCCAACTCTCTACAGCCATCGATGAGATCTCTCTCTGACGCCCTCTATGCTCTCACTCTAAGTTTGCACCTTGGTATACCCAGGAGTTGCAGCTGATGAAGCGAAGGCTAATACGGCTAGAGAGACAATGGCAGCGTGCCCACAACAAAGCTACAAGAACATCCTATAGGATGTTTATGAGATCCTATGAGATGGCCGTCAAAGCTGCAAAGAAAGAGTTTTACACAGCTTTGATTGCATCTGTGAGCTCATACCCAGCCCAATTGTTTAGAATGATTCTGTCCATGACTACTCTGCCACAAGGCAGGTCAAACATTAGGGAATTGGACATTGGCTGTGAGGCTTTTGTGAGCTATTTCTCAGATAAAGTCTTGTCACTCCACCATGACCTCCCCGCCAAAGTTGAGACAGTGAGTGAACTCAATGCTCCATGCACATCTTCTAGTCGGGTTATGGATCATTTCAGTCCACTCAGTCCAGAGGAAGTTGACAAATTGCTCTTAATTGTATGCCCCACCACGTGTCTCCTTGACCCATGTCCATTGTGGCTAGTCAAAGCTGGTCGTGTTGGGTTTCAAGGTGTCCTAGGGGAGATTATCAACAAATCCTGCTTGGAGGGTCAGTTCCCTGGGACACTTAAGGAGGCCATGGTCCATCCCCTCTTGAAGAAAACCTCTTTGGATCCGGCCAAATTGGCTAACTACCAGCCGGTTTCCAACTTGACCTATTTGGGCAAGTTAATAGAGAGGGCTGTGGCAGTCCAGTTACAGAACTTTTTGGATGACACTTCCACTCTAGACCCAGTCCGGTTTTCACCTGGGACACAAGACGAAGACAGTACTGGACACCCTCACGGATGACCTCCAGAGGCACCTGGATTGAGGCAGATCAGCAGTGCTGTTGTTGTTGGACCTGTCTCCAGCGTTCGCCACGGTTGACCATCAGCTACTGATCCACTGCCTCGCTGACTCTGGAGTTGCAAGGGGCTCGCCTTGCAATGGCTTGCATCCTTCCTTCAGGATTGGGGACAAAGGGTGGCTCTGGGGGAACAGCTGTCCCAAAGGCATCCACTGACTTGTGGAGTGCCACAAGGGGCAGTACTTTCCCCGATGCTGTTCAACATCTATATGTGCCCCCTAGCTCAGATTGCCCAGAAGCATGGGCTGGGGTGTCACCAATATGCGGATGACACCCAGCTCTATCTGCTGTTGGGTGGCCAGTCTGACTCTACACCAGAAGATCTGGACCAGGCATTACAAGCTGCAGTTGGTTGGCTTAGAATGAGTCGACTGAAACTGAATCCAATGAAGATGGAGGTCCTGTGCCTGAGCCGGGGTAGCCCGAGGGTAGGGATACCACTCCTGACCTTTGATGGGGCACAGTTGGTGCCAGTGCTGGACATTAGGAATTTCAGGGTGCTCCTGGATGCCTTTTTAACAATAGAGGCCCAGGTTGCAGCCACTGCCAAGTCAGCCTTTTACCATCTTCTGCTGATTAGGCACTTGATTCCCTTCCTCGAACACAACAACTTGGCAACAGTGATCCACACAATGGTCACCTCGAGATTAGACTACTGTAATGCTCTGTACATGGGCTGCCCTTGTCCCAAATCTGGAAGCTGCAGCTGATGCAAAATGCTGCAGCCAGGCTGTTGACGGGTCTCTCTACGTGGGAGCACATCCAGCCTGTGCTGAAAGCATTGCACTGGATGCCAATAGCATACCAGATTCGCTTCAAGGTGCTGGTTTTAACCTTTAAAGCCCTTTATGGTCAGGGTTCAGCATACCTAAGGGACCACCTTTCCCAGTACGTTCCCCAGAGAGCACTGCGTTCAGGGGCCCAAAATCAGCTGGCCCTCCCAGGCCCCAAAGACACCAGGCTGGTGATAACCAAGGCCAGGGCCTTCTTGGTGGCAGCTCTGTACTGGTGGAATGAGATCTTGGAAGAGATCAGAGCCCTGCGGGACCTTTTACAGTTCTGCAGGGCCTGCAGAATGGAGCTCTTCCGCCAGGAGTGACCCTGTGCCCTGGCTTTACCACCTCAGCCTGTCTTGCCGCACAAATTAGTTGACCAAACTGAGCTGATGTGAGAATACCATCATGACTGTCACCTAAGTAGTATTATTAATCTAGAAATCTCTGCTCTTGCACTTTATTCGAGTATTGTTCCAGCACTTTATGATAATCAATAACTGATTGTTTATGGCTGTTTTTATGAATGATTTTAATTGTATTTATACATGCATTTTTATGCAAGCCACCCTGAGCCTGCCTCAGCAGGGAGGGCGGGGTATAAATTGAATGAATGAATCAATGAATACATAATTAGGGGTTTTTGAAATAACTGTCTCTTTCGTGATAAAGTTTGGATCCCTGCCAGTTTCTCTCCATCCCCAATGATCACAGTGGGGATGGGAGTCCATGAAAAGGTTCCTGCACTCCTAGTGTCCCCAACAGCAGCTATGGCAGACTTGCCCACTTCTCTCCCTCACATGCAGAATTTTCCCCTAAAATTTGTCTTTCTTTTCCTTTCTGGCTGAGCAGCCCCTTTTATCTATTTTCTTCTTATCTGAATGATAATAGCTGCCCCATCCTGTCACATTATTATATTTTGATGCTGGCTCAGCTCAGGGACTTGAAGGAAGAGACAAGACCACCTCCTTAATTTATATTTCTGAAAATGGCACAAGAAGCTTTTGAACGTTCAAAAATAAACAAAATATTTTGTTTCAATGTAGAGGGGGGAAAGATCAGGTGGAATCGGGGGTAAAATGTCTGAGGTGAATCAGTAATAACTCTGAGGAAACCTAGTAGTGTCACAAACTCCAGTTAATATGTTTCCAGCAAGTGAGAGTTTTAAGCTTTTTACAAAGTCTTAGAATCTTTGAGCGGAGAGGCTTTATTTTTGGTGTCTGCTAAATACTCCAGTATACATTTTTGAGATTAACTGACTCTTCAAGTTTCAGAAGAACTTGGTGTAGTGGTTAAGAAGGGCAGACTCTAATCTGGAGAACTGGGTTTGATTCCCCACTCGTCCTCATGAAGATAGCTGGGTGACCTTGGGTCAGTCACAGTTCTCCCAGAGCTCTCTCAGCCCCACCTACCTCACAGGGTGTCTATGGTAGGGAGGAAGAGAAGGGAAGCCACTCCAAGACACCTTCAGGTAATGAAGGGCAGGGTATAAAACCAATTCTTCTTCTCCTTCTTCCCTGACTCTTCAAGTTTCAGAAGGCAGAGATACACTCCCAAATACCCAAATTCCTTCTCTAAACAAGCCAGGGATCACTCTTCTCTTTGAGCTATCTCCTTTTCCAACTGGGCAGGGAATTACTTCTCTAAACTAGAAGCTCTGTCCCTTTTTCTGGCCCAAATGGGGGTCTTCAATGATCCTCCCACTTCTCCTTGCCAACCTTCCCCAGTCCTCAGTCAGTGCTAAACTGAATTCTCTTCAGCAGTAAGTTCCCAACTCGTTCTTCTTAACTGACGCTAGCCAATGAAATCTGTTTGAGCAGTTTGTTACTCAAAAGCTCTTTGGCTTTGTGAGGCATTAACTCTTCACAGTCTGTCACATGTTTATACAGCACTTATGAGTTTTTGAAGTACAGTCACAGCAGCAAAGACTGTTTTTCTGGATTGTGATTTTGGAAAAGAACTACCATACCAATGAATGAGTTATCAATAGACAAATAGGAGAGATTATGATAACAGGGGAGGAAAAACTAAGAGAAGACAAGGAGCTGGAAGGGAAGGTGGCATGGTATAGCCCGATCCCATCAGATCTCAGAAGCTAAGAAGGGTCAGTACTTGGAAGGGAGATCACCAAGGAAGACTCTGCAGAGGAAGGCAGTGGCAAACCACCTCTGCTTCTCAAATGCCTTGAAAGACCCTTGCTGGGGTCACCATAAGTTGGCTGCAATTTGATCACACTCTACACACACAAATACAGAAGACAAGAAAACCCAGAAGATTTCTTTTTAAAAATTGACCTTTGTGTATAATATTAAAAGAAAACAGCACTCAGAATCCCAGTGAACAAAACAAGTGCAAATGGTTTTTCTCATTGAAATCCATGGGACTTGCAAGTGCTCAACTTTGAATGGAACAAGCTGCAGTTGCTGACATATTCTGATCTTTAACCTGCAACGTGTTCACTAGCTAGAAGGTGGGAGATCTCTGATAGTAGTAGTTCTCACAAGATTACTGTGCCTAAAAGTCAGCCTTTTGCAAAGTGATTAAAAGCCCATAAACTGCATACTGTTTGCAGTTTGACAACTGTAGCAAAGCCAGTGTTAAGGGTTTGCAGCATGTGTAATGGGACTGGTTTGGTGCAGAAAAGGCATCTAGCTTTTTCTATAGTTTTCCTGTGGATATGGCAGGCTGTTGTGGCAAGGCTCCCAATGACTGCTGATATTCTGATTGTGTTCTTTTACAGGAAGATAGTGTGTGAGTGTGGCTATCTTAGGGAACAGCATTCAGAGGAAGCTATAAAACCTGCCATGTTCCAGGGGAAAGAATGGGACCCCAGAAGACATGTCCAAGAAGTACCAACAGATGCTTTTGGGGACCTGTGTTTCACAGGCTTGGGGCAAAAAGCAGCAAAGGTAAGTTAGCACACGACTATCATACAGGGGGCTGTGATTTATTGCATGAGTATGGGCAGTATTCACAGCTGTTAGTACTTGAAGGTTTTCTAGTAAGTGTAAGAAGGGATCATTAGTTGAATATAAGGACATGAGATCAATGAATCCATCAATTAAGTCTTTTGATTGTACATCCAGAATGCAAGTTCAAAAATTAAAGGCACCATCATTCCTGTTTTATGCCATCATTAAGACACTGTAGCAGGCCCCTAGCTAACGTGGGGCCCATGTCCCCCCCCCCCGCGTGGTTTTTGTGGGCACTACCGTCCTTTCGGCCCCCCCCCCCCCCCCGGCTCTAGACGTCTGGGCTCAAGGTGAAGTCAGCCCAGGCAAGCAAGCAAGCGGGCGGCAGGGTTTGGCCCTGGTAGCCACATTGTAGTGTTCTCTGGGTTTGACCTGTAAAGACCAAGGACCAAGCTAGACATGATGTAGTGAGATCTGTCTTCAGTTTCCCCAATGGATTTTTTTTTTTTATTGAAAGCAGCTGTCAGGAAAACAGGGTCTCACAAGCCCTTATTTGCCCAGTGGAGTGTATGGAGGACACGGCTTTTCTACCCAGCCAGGCTTCCCCTTCCCCATACTCCTGGTTACTCCTACTTTATTCTTGTACCACCAACAGCAGCTAGTTGGTTTCTAGAGCCTGATCCACCAGGGGCTAGCTCCTTGGTAACCTCTACTGTTTGGCCACTTAAAGGTTCAGCCTTGTTTTTGCATCTCCCACTTTGGCATCTCCCATTGGCTACTGCAAGAACTAAGTGCACTCACTTGTGCACTTTGGGGATGAAGGGAAAAATCACTGATCCTCCCCCCATTCCTCACTGATTCGTGATAACGAATAGGGTTTAACATGGATCATAGAGATCAGTCTTGTAGCATTCAAATTGTAATAAGGAAATGAAACATATACATCATTTGTAGACACAACAGACTGAGCAAGGACAACAAGGAAAGGTGATAAAACCTCAGTCCTGACTGTAATTCTCTACATACTCTAAATAATGGGAAATTAGGATAGGCTATTAATTATAGAAGTTGCAAGTAGCTAGAAAACATCTGTTATCTCAGTCTCATGCTCTGAGATTCTTCCCAGTGATCACTGTCACATGTGCTTAAGTAGGGCTGCCAAATGCCCCCGGGGGGCGGAATTCCCCCTGGTTTCGAGCCCCGATTCCCGCTCCCGCGGAATCGGGGCCCGGGGGAAACCCCACCCCCGCATCTGCGTCACCCGGAAGTGACATCGGACGCTGGGGGCGGAGTTTTCCCCTCAAATGGCATGGCTCCGCCCCCAGAGTGTGACGTCACTTCCGGGTGACGCGTGCGCGCACGGAGAGGACGCTGGCCGGGAGCCCCCCGCTCCCGGCCAATTTCAATTTGGCAACCCTATGCTTAAGATGGAGACTGCTTACAGAGGCATGCAGTCAGATGGAGACAGAGCAACAATGGAGGGCAGAGCTAACAGAGAAGAGCCTCATAGCAGCAGACCACTGAAGAGAGTTTCTTTCTCATGCCCAAGAGTTTTATCAGTTCCCTTCTGTCCACCTTCTGAAAACTTTCCTCCTCTTCCTGTTTCCTGTAAGGGACCCTTCTATATTTTAGCCTCCTGCCACTCTATAGCTCAGGCAGGGACTCTGACAGGGACCTCTCTACCTATTGTCCTTCCCCTGGCTAGGTCCATTTGCAATTCTATGACACTAGGTGCCTGGAAGGTCAGTTATTCCCACTCCTCTTTCACTGTTCCCCCGCCCAGCCAGTAAAAGGCACTTTGTAACCCATTCACTTATATGGAGTGCAGACCCAAGTTAAAATAAGCTTTGATACAAATTCAGAGGTATAAGGCATTTTACCACAGCACCCACAGAGGGCTCCAAGTCATATTGGGACTGCAGCACTGGGGGGGAGAGATTAATCCTTCCCCTCAGCTATTTTTCCAATGCAAACACATATCCCACAAGCTACTTATGTTTCAAGGTTTCAAATATTCTATAGTCTCAACTTTATTGAGCCTGTGGTACTGGGTGCCACCACAAAATGACTGCCATGGGGGCAGGGTTAATAAAAATGTTTGGAGGTTCCAAACCAAGCATCCCTCCTACAAATGGAAGTAGCTGTATGTGAATAGGGGCTTCCTGCAGACACAAAGGTGCTGCCCCCTGCTCTCTTCTGAAGCAGTTGCTGCTTCATTGAAGTGGAGAAAAGCCTGGATTGGCTGCTTACTTTGGGGAACAGAAGTTTTGAAGTAAGAAATGGATTCCAGGAAACAGATTGGCAAGTGCCATGATGGCCATGATCACTGCTATAACCCATCCACATTTGCTGCCTAATCCTACTTGATTCACTTGAAACTTTCCAGCTGAATTCAGCAGGGTTATTCCAAACTAAATGTTGCAGTCCTGAAATATTCTGCATAGATTGGGAAGTAGAAGACAGACAATAGTTGTCACTGAGTCAAGGTAAGCTGTATGAGGTTTGGGATGGACTCTTGCAAGATCGTTAGGGCTGCCAGGCCCCCCAGGGGGGATTGCCTGCCCAAAGGGCCCCCAACCCCGCCAGTCCGGATCAGGCTGGCGGGGGGAACCCTGCCCCCAAAGTGCCCGGTTCAGGCCAACGTGCCTGGCGCGATGACATCACCCAGAAGTTACATCACTTCTAGAGAGGCCCATCATCACGTTGGGCACGTCGCCAGCCGAAGGTCTAGGAATCAGCCTGGAAACTCTATGGTACCCGGGCAGCTCTCCCCCACTGTGCAAAATTTTATTTATTTATTTATTTATTTGACTTATATCCCACCCTTCCACTTGGGCTCAGGGTGGCTAACAAGAGGCAATTGCCATACAAACAGTAAAAACCAGATAAAACAATCAATTACATCTACATTTTACATATTAGAATCGGTGCTCACAACAACATATCATCCAAGATGGGGTCTCCAATGCAATGTTTCAGAGGTTCTACTGTCTCTTCTTGATCAGTCTGCGCTATGTCCGTTCTTCAATTCCAAGGCCAGTTCGCATTGCCAAAAATGGCAGCGCGGTGGTGGTACAGTGATGGTGGCGGCTCCTACTCAAAAGCCTGGCGGAAGAGCTCCATCTTGCAGGCCCTGTGGAACTGCATAAGGTCCCGCAGGGCCCTGATCTCCTCCGGGAGCTCGTTCCACCAGATAGGAGCCGCCACTGAAAAAGCCCTGGCCCTAGTCACAGCATATTTGACATCTCTAGGGGCTGGGACAGCCAAAAGATGTTTTGCCCCTGACCGTAGTGCCCTTGGGGGAACATATGGGGAAAGGTGGTCCCTTAGGTAAGCTGGACCCTGGCCATATAGGGCTTTATAGGTAAGAACCAGCACTTTGAAGCGGACCCGGTACGCTATTGGCAGCCAGTGCAGCGCCTTTAGAGCAGGCAGGATGTGGTCTCGCCTAGAGAGGCCCATCAACAGCCTGGCTGCTGCATTCTGCACCAGCTGCAGCTTCCGGATCTGCGACAAAGGCAGCCCCATGTAGAGAGCGTTGCAGTAGTCCAACCTCAAGGTGACCGTCGCGTAAGTGACTTGGCAACCCTAAAGATCACAGAAGATCGTTATATTGTCTTTGTCACTTTGCATTGCCCATGGTGTCCTCTGCAGACCCATTTTGTGTTGGGAGTGAAAGACTTTGTGCTGTCTCTTAGCCTCCGACTTCAGAGGGGGACTATAGAGTGGCAGAGAGAGAGATAGGTCGGGACCCTAATCATCCTTCCGTTTTGCTGCTCTGATGCTATCCCTTTGATGTGTAGATTGCTACTCTCAGAGAATCTTCCTTCCTTCTGGCCTGACACCTTCTCGCCACACTGTGCTACTCTTCTCCATCTTGGCACCATGGGGGCAGGACATGCTTCCTGCATCTCTATCCATCCTAGCTAGTTAGACTAGATAGGAATCCTGTTTCTATCCTGTCTAGAACAGAGTTCCTTACAATAAAGGACTCATATTAGCTTTGCAAAGGTAAAGAGGCTCCATCTGTAACTTTGTTTCTTGTCAGCACACACAGACTGGATAGACTCTGCTGCATTATGTGCCTTGAGCACTGTGCTAACCCAATAATCATTCATGTTGTACTGTCCTTCATGAAGGTAAGCAGGGCTGGGTCTATTAAGTGTCCGAATGGGAGACATTCTTGAAATTGAATGCATATGACTCTGAGTTCCATGGAAGACAAGTAGTACATAAATGTAATAATAAATATAGCACTCTGCTGTATTCAAAGCCCTGATAGTGAATGGAACTCTAATGAGCCTGGATATTCTTGCATACTGGTTAGATTTAGTAAATGTGTCCGTTATACATTGAATTTTCCAATTGCAGTTTGTGCGTGTGTCCCTTGACACTCCCCCAAGAGTCATCTACCAGCTAATGACACAACACTGGGGCCTTGATGTACCAAACCTCTTAATATCTGTGACAGGAGGAGCTAAAAACTTCAACATGAAGCTGAGATTGAAGAACATTTTCAGGAGGGGGCTCGTCAAAGTGGCACAGACAACAGGTAAACCAGCTTCCTGGCCCGTCTCTGTCCACAACAAATGCAAGAGAAATGTGGCAGCCAAGCCAGTCCATTCATATTCTTTGTTCCAAAGGTGCCTGGATCATCAGTGGTGGTTCTCATGCTGGTGTTATGAAGCAAGTTGGGGAAGCAGTGCGGGGCTTCACCATGAGCAGTAGCCTCAAGGAAGGCGAGATTGTCACCATCGGCATTGCAACGTGGGGGACTGTGCACAACCGCAACAGCCTCATCTGCCCCATGGTGAGCCAAAGGACCTCCAGACTTTCTGCTTACAGTACAATCCTATGCAAAGTTGCTCCAGCCTAAACTCACTGAAGTTAATGAACTGAGACTGGGTTAGCTTCTGCATATGATTGTACTGTCTGCTATATCCAGGGGAGGGGGTGGAAATAACAACAGCTTGTACTAAAGATGTGGCAATGATGCCTCTGTGGAAGCTGCTTTGTGACTGAAGATCATACCGTATCCACTGTGGGAATGGGGAGTCTGGAAAAAACGGAACCAGGTCGTAAAGCTCTTTTTGGAACCCTAGGTGCAATTGGGGCTTTGATCTCAAAACACGGATACTATCAGGGCTGGCATTATTTATATATACTATATAACAGTTTAATCCCTTCCAGGTATTAGTTATCATGTTTAAGAATAATATTTACCTTAATAGAGAAGGTAAGGAGATCAATAATATGATCACCTATGTAGACATCTTCAGTGGAATCTGTAAGGCCTCACAAGTCCTTTATTCTAACAAAACACAGCCAAACTAGACACTACATTTTTAAACAGGTTGAGTCAGTGTTTCTCCAGCCCAGTTCTCACCTGCCCAGTTGGGGAACTGCATGTGCGTTGTGGGCTGTACGTACAGTCCTTCCAATGGGCAAATAACTCCCCCTGGGGCCATTTTGAGTTGGGAAAAATAGGGCAGGAGGAAGGCTCATATCCCTCCTTCTCCCTCATCTCATTCCTGATCTGATTTGGGCCCCTACAGGACCTGGAAACATAGTTCCCAGCTGTTCCATCCATCTGAGCCAAATTAGAGTTGGACTGAAGAAACCTAACCCAGCTTGTTAAAAAAATATGTCTAGTTTATCCCTTTATAATCTGAGACCACTATTTCTGTCACAGTTCACTAATTTCATTTGACTCTTAATTTCAGTTGAGTTTTTGTCCTGAAACAATGTCCATATATTTCAAATACTCTACCTGGAATATCAGAGGGCTTTTACAATGTACACAGAATTTGTGCAGCTACATGCACACACAAAGGGAGATTTTCATGGAGTTCTCTTGAAAAAGGGATGGCCTGAGTAGCTTGTGACAAGACTGTGAGATAATTTAAGCTTTAAAAAATATTATATAACTCTGTACTCTTTCTTTTCCCTTCTTTTCCCTTTCCCCCTTTCTATTTATAAACTAATAAACAGAGTGCAGGGAGTTGGACTAGATGACCTGCAAGGTCCCTTCCAACTCTAACATTCTATGATTCTCTAATAAAACTCTATTAAAAATATTAGCAGATGAAACTAATAAAGTCTGTAGGTACAATTTGTTACACACAAATTCACCTTAATTTTTAAAAGTGCTTTGATAATGAAGGAATGGCCAACAGCCCAACAAAGACAGTATGAATTAGCTCTGCAGAGCAGTCATGCACGGGAGAAAATACCCTGGAAGTGAAGTGCAAATAGGAGCAAATCCTAGGCTGTTTGTGTGACTTGTTTGGTGTTGCCCCACTACCACCCATGAATATCAGTCCAGCTCTACAGTGATAGGTTTACTGTGGCTCAGTGCTAGGACTGAAGGCCACCATTTAGGAATAAGTGAGTGGTATTCTGATTCTTGTTTCGTGACAGTAGACATCCCAAAGGCACATTGCTACAATGATGGGACAAAGGCTTTATTGTTACTTAATATTAGAAATTTTAAAACTGCACCTGGGCTTCTCAGCATTTTCTTTTTCCTTTGTTACATCTTATAATACTTCCCCAATAGAAATGAGAGGAAAAACCGACTGTGAGATCAATAACAACGGGGGGCAAAAACAGACTGACTCTTCTTACTTTCTGTAGATCTCAACACTTTTCTTACACTGGTCAGATCAGTAATATTTGTCATGTTTCCTTTGGCATTAGGAAAATATCTCAGAATCCTGCCATCTTCCAAAAGATCTGCCATTCTTTTACAGAAAGATTTTAATAATGTCTAATGTGTATACACGTACCCAACAATGGATAGAACTACATATTACATGTATTTAAACTGGGTTTTTTTTACAGATTCACTGGGGCTACACTTTCCAGGGGAGACAGTGGGAGAATGGGAGAAGAGCTTCTTAGCCTTTCCCTCCATCCAGTTTCCCCCACCACCCAAATCAACATCTCTAAGCTGCTTTTACCCTCTCTGGGGAAAACGTACAGGTGCTCATGAAATTTTTCCCCTGTGGGGGTCAATGCAGCATGGAAATAGTGATGGTGAGCAGCACAGGGCTTAAAAATACCCTTTATGCCCTCATCAGTATCCCCCTGTATACCACAGCCTCAGGATCTATGATTTATAAAAGAAACAAAGTCCTTAGGAATGATCACAGAACTCCACATAACATGTCATTCCACCCTAAGGGTCAGAGGTCCAAAAATTACTGTCAGTTTGTCTATTTGTCACTTGCTTTCATGTCTGCAGGGCAGTTTCCCAGCGGAATACCTACTGGATGAGGAGAGCCAAGGGAACCTCTCTTGTCTTGACAGCAATCACTCACACTTCATCCTGGTGGATGATGGAACGCATGGGAAATACGGTGTGGAGATCCCCCTGAGGACGAAACTTGAGAAGTATATTTCAGAGCAAACAAAGGTGAAAGAAGGTATGGAGGCATCTGGAGCCACAACTGGAATTAATATTGGAGTATCACCTTATTCCTCCAGCCTTAGAAGTGGGATGGGAACAGTGGCGAACCTGGCCTCTTCGGTGCCCAGGGTAGATAATTTTTTAACACTCCCCTGTCCCTCCCCCCCCCTTTTTTGTTTTGCCATCGAGTCACAGCTGACTTATGGCGACCCCCTAGGGTTTTCAAGGCAAGAGATGATGGGAGGTGGTTTCCCATTGCCTGCCTCTGCGTCAGCCCTGCTGAGCGCCTGAGATCTGATGAGAACAGACTAGGCTGGGGCTGTCTCCTCTACACAACAAAATTATTTTCAGTAATAATCATGAAACAAAATGAATAATTATAATGGCCAGGAAATATATTCAGGTGGGTAGCCATGTTGGTCTGAAGCAGCAGAAAAAAGTTTGGTCTTAAAGGTTCCATTGGAACCAAACTTTGTTTTAATGGCCAGAAAATAAATGCAGACAATGAAAATTTTATTTTATTTAACTTTTTATGTATATACTAAATTATCTATGGTTCTCTTGTAAGCTGCCCTGAGCCTGCCCCAGCAGGGAGGGCAGGGTAAAAATCTAATTAATAAATAAATAAAATATAAATAAATAATCATGCCAGTAAAAAAAGATCCAAGTTCCAACATGCTATTCCATCACAAGAGGCAGCATGGTGCAGTGGTTAAAGTGTCAGACTAGGATCTGGGAAATCCAGGTTCAAATACCCACTCGTGCCGTGGAAGTTTGCTGGGTGACCTTGGGCCAGTCACATTACTCTCAGCCTAGCCCTGACCTGGATAGCCCCAGGACATCCTGATCTCGTCAGATCTCAGAAGGTATGCAGGGCAGACGTAGAGGCAGGCAATAGTAAACCACCTCCAAATGTCTCTTGCCTTGAAAACCCTACTGGGTCACCATAAGTCAGCTGTGACTTGATGGCAAAAAATAATAATCCATCACACCACTCATGTTCTGAGCAGGCCCTTCGGAGGGCTTCTGTTCTCCTTTCTAAAGCCCAAGAGCTGACCATCCCAAACATCTACAAGGCAATTTTGAGAGCTTGGGGGTCTGCCTTTTTGCTAGCTTTTACTAACACTAGCCAAAGCATCACCAAATAGTGATTGCAAGCTTCACCAGACTGAATGTTAAGAAACACACTATCCCCCAAAGAAGATGTCCCTACCCTCCATTGTTTCCAAAGGACTAAAGTCAAACCAGAAAAACTCTGCAGCAGAAACTGAAGGGGGGGGGATTTTTGCAGCAGAACTAGTGCAATCTACAGAGTACCTAGCAGTACCACTGCAATCACAGAGTGCCCAGCAGAACCCAGTGCCATTGTGGCAATGTCAAGCACAGAAGCACAGTCCAGGCAAGGGGGTTGGAAGCCCAGCATAACCAGTGCAGTGTACAGTGCCCAGCAAACCCAGTGCCTTCTGTTCATAATATTAACAACGGTTTGCTACTCTACTACTCTTAAATACATTCTGTCACCAAGCAGGAGAGGGATGAGAAGGTCTTGAGACCAAGAAGTGAAAATAAAGGGGGGGGGGACATGAAAAAATTAGGTGAAGGGGACAGAGATGAATGAGAAAGTTGTGGAAAAGAGGGAGAGAAATTAAGAGAGGGAAAGGTTGTTTTATCTTGTTGCAGCACCCTAGCTACTGCTTTGCCAGATCTGGCTGAGCTGGGTTCAAGGAAAGGAAGGAAAAAAGGCTAGACTATTGAAGAAAATGACCTGCAGGCTGGCAATTACAGCTACCAGCGTGCTGGCTTGGTTGTAGGATCTGTTAAGCAAGTTTGCTTCAGTCTTGGAGAAAGGGAAGTCTAGCCAATCCTAGAGCGCTCTTTGCTATGCTCAGACTTCCCTGTGCCCCTATTGGCTGCAGCCAGAACTGCATTTTAAAAATAAAAGGGAAGACGTTTGACTGGATGCAACATAACACTGGCTTCAAGGGCTCTGCTTCAAGGGCCTACCTCAAGCTGTTTATGGGGCAGACCACATACCCCTACCTCACCCTTGGTACACCAGTGGATGGGAAAGATTAAAATCACCTGTGTCACCTGGGCTGTAAGGTTCGTGTGTGCTCTCCCAAGGGCTTGCCATTGCCCAATGAAGCACTGTGACCATTGTTGATGTCAGTGCACTTATAGTCTGTGTTTATTGATTTAATTTATTTCACAGGTGTATAGACCTCAACTGTCAGCGAGTGATTCCTAGCTGTGTTGTGTTGTGATGAAAGAACCTAAATCTGGGATCAGCGAGCATCCTTGTCCTAGGGCATGACTGGGGCACTGTCATTTCTGGTAACTGAGAAGAGGACTAGCAGTTTCTTCAGATTTAGACTGAGTTTCCTGCAGCGTCTTCCATGTGGTTCTGCATTCTTGAGACTCCTTACAGAGTGCTTCTGGTGCCAAATTATTTATTGACCCTGTGATAGTGGGCACTAGCACACAAGGAGGAACTATGCACTGTATGCATGTGGAAATGACTGAGCTTTTATTTTCTCATAGGAGTTGCCATTAAGATACCAATTGTTTGTGTAGTCCTGGAGGGCGGCCCTGGGACTCTTGATGTAAGTACTCCACTGGACAAAACAGCAGCTCATTTTGGAAAAGAAAATGTTGTATAGGAGAATATTTCCATTTTAACACCTATCCTAAGCACTGCAGAACTTATAGTGCAATCCTAAGCATGTATACTCAGAGGCAAATTCCACTGAATTCAATAGGACTTACTCTCTAGTAAGTGTATTTAGGATTGCAACCTGAGTCACATAATGTCTCTGTTGGACATCTGTTGGCTGAAACCAGTTTTTCGGTCTTTGTTTGCAAGAGCTGATGCATCAGTTTGGTGTAGTGTGTGGACTCTAATCTGGGAGAACTAGGTTTGATTCCCCACTCCTCCACTTGCAGCTGCTGGATGACCTTGGGCAAGCCATAGTTCTGTCACAGCTGTCCTTGAAAGAGCAGTTCAAGAGCTCTCTCAGCCCCACCTACCTCACATGGTGTCTGTAGGGGGGAGGGGAAGGGAAAGGAGTTTGCAAGCTGCTCTGAGACTCCGAGTGAAGGGCGGGGTATAAATCCGACCTCCTCTTCCTCCTCCATGAGGAGGAGGTATATGTATAATGAGTAATGGTTTCTCTTCAAAGTGTTTTGATTTGCATGTGCCCTTTTATTGCACAAATGGCACAGAAATCCTGTATGGTAAGACATATTTGAACCAAAATGCCTTAGCGAGTGTACATTGGGCACATGTTCTCATGTGGAGGTTTGGGAGTAACATAGCTGGGAAAGAGTTAAAGAGTATGTTCCTCAAACTGTGAAGTTCTGTAGTCCAGAATGCTACCACTTCAATGCACCACTGAGCACTGTTGAAGAGGAAAGGGGATCTGTTATCTTTACTGGAGTATATCAGGAGGTGGCAATGGAAATGGCAGCCATATTGTGCAGATGCAGAGTTGGATAGCAGCTGAATGTCATTACATCCACCCATACTACTACAACATACTGAGCAGCCATGAGCTGGTTTGGTTCTGCAGGATCAGCCTCAGTCACTGCCTCATGAAGGCCTCCAATAAAGGCATCAAGCTTCCTTTCTCCTTGAAAGGCCATAGCTGGAGTCTTCCCAGAGAACCATCGCACAAGCCACCCCTGCCTGCTCTTAAACTGCTCAAAACCAGTCTGTGCACTGAAGCAGTAGGATTCTGGACTGCAGAACTTCAGACAGCTTGGGGAACATACTTTTTTGTTCTTTCTCATGTACAAAACTCCCTACATTTAGTATGATATCATGAGTAGAGTTATGTAGCCCTTTTGTAGGTGCTATATGGAGAAAGTATTTTACATGGGAGAGCATTCATAAAGACGAACCTTTACCCAGAGTCTGGAGTGGCAGAGTTCAAATGTCTAACATTGCAGTCTGCCCCCTTATTCTTCATAAGGCGTAGATTGGCTCTGAAGTCAGCAAGCAATACAACAGTAGACATTTGTAAGAAGTGGGGTTAAGTGACACCAAGATCTCCTGTTCTACAGACCATCTACAATGCAATCACCAATGGCACCCCATGTGTGATTGTGGAAGGCTCGGGGCGTGTGGCTGATGTGATCGCGCAAGTGGCTAACTTGCCCAACTCCAAAATAACCATCAACCTGATCCAGAAAAAACTGAGCACATTCTTTAAGGACAGCTATGAGCAGTTCACTGAAAGTAAGATTGTGGAGTGGACGAAAAAGGTAAGGCTGAAAAACACTCCCTGTGCAAAGGTGGGGATGTTACAGGTTTTTGTTGGGAAAGTTATATCCAGGGTTAAGGATAAGCTGTTTGAAAACCTGTTTCTGACCCTGGCAGTTACATGTCAATGAAAAATATGATCTATTACTTTGGTTCCCCAGTGTGCACTTATAAAATGGTCACTGCCTTTCTGCATTCCCTGAGGAAGCCTTGGCTCAACACTGCACAGATTATAAGCCTATGACTTGGTGGATAGCAAGTCCTATAGAAGAAATCTGTGCTGCAATGGGGCTTCAACCCATGGCTCAAGATCCTCAGGTGGGTCACAGAGCCTTTCCTGCTAGGTCTTGACCCCACCCCGAGCAATTTTTTGCTGCTTTCCAGAAGGACCTGCTGCTCTTCAGACAACGTTCGGCCAGATTTTTCTAAGATAGTAAGACAGGTGGCCTGGCCAGGGACTGAAGATCGGTAGAGACTGGGACTACAAAATGGAGGGAGAATGGTCATTGTAACATACACTTGCAGCTCAGTGGTTCCTAAGCTGCACCCTGAGGGTTAAAGGTGGGTCCCAGCCAATGCTCCCTCTAAGCTGTGGAGCCTTGTGGGCAAAAATTCTACTTTGTGAGCTACTGGCATTAAAGTTGTGAGTGTGCAATTTGGTGACTGCATAAATTAGTTTGCTCTGGAGCCATCCTTCATGAGCTAATACAAAAATGTGTGAGCCAGAGGTTAAAAACCTGTGAGCTAGTTCACACTAATTTAGCTTAGAGGAAACACTGGTCCCAGCTCCAGAAAGAACAAATATCTCTGCTATGTAATGTAGTATAGTGGCTCTGAGGATAAACTGTGAAATTCACTATGTGGTCTTTGTATAACCATGACACCATGCTGGGTTGCTTCTTATATAAACACTAAGTATCCTGGTGTCAAGGAGTCTGCTGGGGTTAGAAAATGTACTAGGTATAAAGACAGAAAATCTTCCTATCCCTATTCCCTACGGAAACTAAATCAGGGGATGTGCAACTAGAATGAAACACACTCTGCTGCTCTTTTCCCCCACCTCCCTCCCATCTCTCTGTTGTCTTTCTCATAATAAATGTTGACTAGTAAGCTCTTTGCGGCAAGGACCGGTTTGGTCATTGCAAACCTCCACGTAGATCAATGTACTGTACACATTAGAAATAATAATAATTACCAGCGCTTTTTTTCTAGAAAAAGCCCAGCAGGAACTCATTAGCATAATAGGCCACACCCAACAGCAGAAACTTATTAGCATATTAGGTCACACCCCTGATAGCACAGCTCATTGGCATATTAGGCCACACACACCCATGTTACCAAAAGTGTGGTCATCCATCCAGTCACACCCACCTTTTGCTTGTTATTCTGTTTACCTTGTTTGTTGTCAAAACCCAGGGCTTTTTTTGTAGCAGGAACTCCTTTGCTTGTTAGGCCACACACCCCTAAATGTAGCCAATCCTAATGAGTTTCTGCTGTTAGGTGTGGCCTATTATGCTAATGAGTTCCTGCTGGGTGTGGGCAACTCAGGAGCCAGCCGGAACTCCGTTCCTGTGCGTTCCTGCCCAAAAATAGCCCTGATAATTACAAAAACTCAATTTCAGAGGCTCTGGAGGTCAGTATATCTCTGGGAAAACTGAGAGGCCATGATCCTAAATTAAAGTCTTTATAGGGAGGAGAATTCATTACTGAATATAGTTATTGCAGCTGTACATTTTCTTGCAGATTCAAGATATTGTGCACAACAGGCAACTCCTGATGGTCTTCAAGGAAGACAAAGATGGGCAGCAGGATGTTGATGTGGCCATTCTGCAAGCAATGCTCAAAGGTGAGCCACGGCTATAGCTCGGCTGCTGCTGAGGTTGCAAGTGAGCATCCAGATGCACAAAATCTAGCTTTGACCCCTCGGTGAAGCATATTTTGGACATGCAGAGTCTTCTCCTTGAGGTCTGTCTGAGAAGAGATTTATTTTTTTCTGCTTGGGAACAGAAGCTGGATTTGCCCAGTCTTGATTGGTACAAAGCCACCACCTGCACTTCCCCAAAATGTTAAAAAGTGAAAAATCTGAGGAAAGCAAAAGTGTCAGATATTGCAGCATACAATTATGCCAGGCTCTTGGGGGGAAAAATCCCCCCCCCCAAAAAAAAAAACTATGTGGGCAGTTGCTTGTAAAGTGGGTGGGGAGGACAGTGGGTTCTGTGTTGAATCCAGAGGCTGTACCTATGTACAGAAGCAGAGGAAGAGGAGGAAGCAGTGCTAACTCTACAGCAGAAAAAAAACACCACCTGTTAGAAGGTGTCCTTGAAGATATGTCTGTATGTAACTGAATTGAAGGTCAGGCTAGACATAACACAGATGATCAGGATATTCTGCAAGCTGGGTTTGTTACTTAGGTAGTTGTGCGGGAAGAATGATCCATCCCACAGGTCTGCTTTGGAGACTGCAAAGTGGCATTGGAGTAAGAGTGTTTTAACCGCTTCCTTCCTTCCTTTCCCCCTGATTCAAATAGTCTCCTGCTGTTTGTTCTTTAATGGAAAAACAGATACAGAATGTAGGTTAAGCACTGTTCCCAACCAAAACGGCTTCTTTGGTTTTCAGGATGGCTATATAAAAAAAACATAAGAATAGCTATGCTGGATCAGACCGATGTCTTGTTTAGTCCAGCATTCTGTTTCATTCAGTAGCCAACCAGATGGCCACAGAAGGCCTACAATCAGGATATGATGGCCAAAGCCTCATCCTGTTGTTACATCTCCCTGCTCTGTTATTCAGAGGATTGCTGCTTTTGAACATGGAGGTTCCATTTCATCATCATGACTAATAGTCCTTTATGTACCTATGCTTCATTAATATATCTAATCCCCTTTTAAAGCCAAAAGTACTTCCCATGATGCTGTTAATTAGTAATAAAAAAACCTGAAATAAATCTTGCTCACAGATCTCCCACATGTCTAGTTCTATGCTGAAACTACATCCTTGTAGACTCTCTTGGGCCATTGCCTGTTCTTCTTGTTGATGACCCAGAATGTAGTTCTGCTTCAGGATTCAGCATAGGGTGCTGCAGTTATTTGCATGTGAAAGCTTACACTTCATTTTCCTCCTGTGTGCACCTCCAAAATGGGACAAATAAATCCCTCGCCATTTTGACTCAGTTAAGTGGTGTGAGGAGGAAGGTAAGCTCCTCCTCCCCCAGACAGTTCCAAGCTGAACTGGACCTCTGCAGACCTTTAAAATGCTATTCCCCTCAGCTGCTGTGTGGATGAAGGGACAGTAAGTCAGGTCTGGGTTTGTTTGTTTGGCCCTCTGTAGCTGACTCCAGAGAAGCAGTGGAGGAAGACAGGGTCACCATAACTAGTGTGCAGAATACTACCAGACATTATACCACGATTAGGGTGTGTCTTGGCATCGAAGTTATCTGATGTGAATAAAACCAAGAAAGATACAAAATGATTTGACACCAAAACATTTTATTTGATTTGTTTGTTTTGATCACTAGTTGCATGGCTTGGAGATTTAAAGTAATGATACACAAACAATCTGTGGATATGAAGGAACTGCTAGGCTAAGCTGACCCAAGTAATGATACTTTAAATACAACCCACTACAATACCCATTAAAATATGAAAACAAATGAAAAATGGTTCCATATCTGCACTGAACCCCAGCTATTAGAAATCAATTTACATTTTGGCCTTTCATTATCAGACTTGCAGTACATAATTTCACTGCACACAGTACTCTGGGTCACGCAGGTTTGCTCTGATGGTGGTGATACTTTTCTCTGGCACAAGGAGATTTTCTTGATGTAAGAGGCTCTTCCCTCGCAGTGCAAAGTGCTGCGCTCTCAGTTATTTTCCTAGTCATTGTACTCCACGTCACTACATATGAATTGGAGAGCAAATAAATACTAGCTGCATCCTGATTTCAGTAACTTTCTTCGGGGGTGGGGGCATGGCTCAATGGTAGCACATCTGCTTGGCATGCAGGAAGCCCCGGGTTCAGTCCCTGGCATCTCCAGTTAAAAAATAATCAAGTAATAAGTGAAGTGAAAGACCTAAGATGCTGCTAGAGCCACTGCCAGTCTGAGTAAACAATACTGACCTTGATGAATCAGTGGTCAAGGCTCAGTATAAGACAGGTTCAGGCATTCCTTACATCTGTGTTGCAGCTTCTCGATACCGTGATAATTTTGGCCATGAGAACTGGGACCACCAGCTGAGGCTTGCAGTCGCATGGAACAGGGTGGATATTGCTCGGAGTGAGATCTTCACCGATGACCATGAATGGAAGGTAGGTCGTTCTTAATGGTGACATATAAGCAATGACACAGTGGCCAGAAATACCAGTGCCATCAGGAGGTCCACCAATGGGGCCAGGACATTAGAAGCCCTCCCACTGTTGCCCCCCCAAGCACCAAGAAGACAGAGCATCACTTGCCCCAGAGTCCCTATCTATACCTTGTGGCTAATAGCCACTGATGGACCTCTGCTCCATATGCTTATCTAATTCCCTTTTGAAGCCGTCCATGCTTGTAGCCGCCACCACTTCCTGTGGCAGTGAATTCCAAGTGTTAATCACTCTTTGGGTGAAGAAGTACTTCCTTTTATCCGTTCTAACCCGACCGCTCAGCAATTTCATGGAGTGCCCACGAGTTCTTGTATTGTGAGAAAGGGAGAAAAGTACCTCTTCCTCTGCCTGCTCTTTCCCATGCATAATCTTATAAACCTCAATCATGTCACCCCTCAGTCATCATTTCTCCAAGCTAAAGAGCCCTAAGCGCCTTAACCGTTCCTCATAGGGAAAGTGTTCCAACCCTTTTATCATTCGAGTTGCTCTTTTCTGCACTTTTTCCAAAGCTATAATATCCTTTTTAAGGTGTGGTGACCAGAATTGCACACAGTATTCCAGATGAGGTCGCACCATTGATTTATATAGCGGCATTATGATATTGGCTGATCTGTTTACAATACCCTTCCTAATAATCCCCAGCATAGCATTGGCCTTCTTTATTGCAGTCACACACTGTCTCGACATTTTCAGTGAGTTATCTACTACAACTCCAAGATCTCTCTCTTGATCAGTCTCTGCCAGTTCAGACCCCATCAACGTGTATTTATAGTTAGGATTTTTGGCTCCAATGTGCATCACCTTGCACTTGGCCACATTGAACCCCATTTGCCATGTTGACGCCCACTCGCCCAACTTTGACAGATCCCTTTGGAGTGCCTCACAATCCTCACTGGTTTTCACCACCCTGAACAACTTCGTATCATCCGCAAATTTAGCCACTTCACTGCTTACTCCCAACTCCAAATCATTAATGAACAAGTTAAAAAGCAGTGGACCAAGTACTGATCCCTGCGGTACCCCACTGCTTACCCCCCTCCACTGGGAGAACTGCCCATTTATACTCACTCTCTGTTTTCTATTAATTAGCCAGTTTTTGATCCATAAAAGGACTTGTCCTTTTATCCCATGATTTTTGAGCTTACTTAGGAGCCTTTGATGAGGAACTTTATCAAAAGCTTTCTGGAAGTCAAGGTAAACAATATCTATTGGATCCCCCTTGTCCACATGTTTGTTCACCCCCTCAAAGAACACTAACAGGTTAGTGAGACAAGATCTTCCCTTACAGAAACCGTGCTGAGTCTGCCTCAATAGGTTTTGTTCATCTATGTGCCTACTAATTCTTTCCTTAATAATGGTTTCCACCAATTTACCTGGTATCAGTGTCAGACTGACTAGCCTGTAATTTCCCGGATCTCCTCTGGAACGCTTTTTAAAGATGAGAGTGACATTAGCTACCTTCCAGTCCTCAGGAATGGAGGCAGATTTTAAGGAAAGATTACATATTTTTGTAAGGAGATCCAGAAGTTCACATTTGAGTTCTTTCAGAACTCTCGGATGTATGCCATCTGGGTCTGGTGATTTATCAGTTTTTAAGTCATCTATCAGTTTTAGGACCGCCTCTCTCGTCACCTCAATCTGACTCAGGTCTTTCAACACCCCTCCTGAAATCAGCGGTTCTGTAGTGGGCAAGCACTTCTCATCTTCCACAGTGAAGACAGAGGCAAAAAATGCATTTAGCTTCTCAGCCATTTCCCTATCATCATTCAGTACTCCTTTTACCCCTTGGTCATCCAAGGGCCCCACTGCCTCCCTGGCTGGTTTCCTGCTTCTAATGTATTTGAAGAAAGTTTTATTGTTGGTTTTTACATTTTTTGCTATATGCTCCTCGTATTCCCTTTTTGCCTGCCTGACCACAGACTTGCATTTTATTTGCCATAGCCTGTGTTCCTTCCTGTTATTTGTTATAAGAAAGTGGGCAAAATATGTCGGCACAGTAATTCTTCCCCTGTTTTCTGAGGTCCCACTGTGTCTCATGGGAAACAGAGAACACCCATAATGCATGGATACACTTTTTGCAGGCCTTGGAATGTTTCTGACAGGCCTTCTTCATATGATTTGGGAATCAGGTTTGTGCAGAGAAATTTTGGGAGCAAAAGATCTGAAGGAGCTTTCACTCAACTGAAACTTTTTCAGTCTGGATGTGAATTTTAATAGCAACAGTGTCACTTACCTTTATGTGCTATACAGATTGAAGAGGTAACATCAACCTCCTCAAACTGCGTCACCCCCACAAAGAATGAATGTTGGCTGGACTGCCATTGTGGAAAAGAAAAGAAAGCAAGGTTATTCTCTCCTCAACAAAAGGCTCTGGGAGATAAGGGTAGAGTGGGTGGACCATGTGATTTGCCCACTCTTCTCTCACCAGTTCTGTTCCCATGTGTCACGGCTCAGGTGGGGTGTCACCTGACACTGCCACCACTCTGGAATTAGGATCCCTTGAGAAGGCCCAGAGCACCCTCCCAAGACCTTCAGACCTCCCTTTTGGCCAAATAATAGGCGTGAGGACCAGGCAAAGTACAACAAAGAAAAGGTTTACTTTATAGGAAGTCAAACAACAAGGTGCAGAATAATAACAGTAAGTGGGTGACAAGAAAATAAATCAAATGCCCTAACATGTCTAAATATATACTGTCCCTAGCTCACTCTCTCAGGTGGCTTCAGATTACTTACCCTTCCCTCAGGATGAGGGTTTCTTCCCACAGCAGCCTTCCTTCTGGCTCTGCCCTCTGGTAATAAGAACAGTTTTCCTTTTACCAGTTCCTATATTCCCCAGCCCTCTTCTTCCCTATTGGTCCAAATCAGCACCAAAACCTCCCAAGGCCTTCTGGGGTTTGTAGGCCCAGCCTCCCCTACTGTTAGCCAGGCTGCCTGGGCCTAGTAGGCCTCTGGTGGCACAGCCCAGATCATGACACCATGTTATTTACAAGTAGCATTGCTTCCAGCAGCAAATGCTTTCACATTTCTGAGAGATATAGAAACAGTCAAGGGCGTAGACTTTCCAGTTTCCTGGAGGGGGGGGGGCTGGGCCTGGGCCAGAGGCATTGCTAAGTCGTTAAAAGAACTGGGACCCAATGACATCATAGGGAGGAGCCAGTGACATCAGAGGCCATTGTCACTATCTATGGAGGTGGAGCCATGTGGGATTTAGGGAGGGGCTCCCCAAAGTTTCTAAATTTGCAGAGTGGAATGCCTCTCTAGCACACAGAGGTGTCGAACTCATTTGTTACGAGGGCTGGATCTGACATAAATGTCACTTTGTCGGGCCGGGCCGGGCCATGTGTGCCATAAAATGTAACACAACGTACCGGAGATATAAACTTTATAAAGATGATTTCAGATGCTGAATGTCAATAGCCAGCTTGATCAGATTGGGTGTGATATGCAAAGGGGTAGTAGGAGTAGAGATATCAGCACTGGTAATCAGACAGGAAACCTAGGTCTCAATTTGGTACAAGAGGATGCAGTCCAGGAGGATACAAAGAATAAATGGAAATAAGTCTGAAGAAGTGAGCAGTGACTCATAAAAGCACATACCCTACCACAATTTTGTTAGTCTTTAAAGGTGCTACTGGACTCTTACTTTTTCTACTGCTATTAGAAACCACAACATTCAAAAACCAGTGGGGGAACATTTTAACCTTCCAGGACATTCAGTTGCTGACCTAAGAGTAGCAGTTCTCTTACAAAGGAATTTCAAAGGGAGATTAGAAAGAGAGGCTGTTGAATTGCAACTGATCATGAAGCTCAAGATAATGCAGACTCCTGGACTGAACTGAGACCTAGGTTGTTCCTCTCATTAACAATGCCTGCTATTGTCATTTGGCATCTGAAATTGCTTCACTCTTCAAGATATAAGGACAGATGGACTCCCATTCTAGCTGTATCTGAAGAAGTGAGCAGTGACTTATGAAAGCTCCTACCCTGACAGAAACTTTGTTAGTCTTTAAGGTGCTGCTGGACTCTTGCTCCCTTTTACTAATAAGAATTGCAAGCTGTACTGTTAGGTTTCTTCTTCTCCCCCATCTGTTAGAAATGGAAAAGGGGATCCATATTGCTCTGCCCCTTCCAACAACACACTTATTCCCTCTCCAAGGGTTTTCAGAAAGCCACATACTCTTTTCCAATCTCACTTCAGTGCCAGTTCCTGTCCTCAAACTCACAGAGAGACCCAAACACTCTCATTTTTGGTAGAATGACACCCCTCCCCTCCTCCACCAGGCTGTTGTGCATCCTACATGAAGCAGGTTGATTCAGCAGATGCAAGCCAATGACAAGTGGTCTGCATCCACCGACACACAGCGGAACCGGAGCTTCCAGTTTCAGCACTGGAGCTAGGGGTGCTAGCCTCCAGGTGGGACCTGGGGAGTCCCTGAATTACAGCTCAGTTTCAGACTACAAAGATTAGTTTCCCTGAAGAAAATGGATGTTCTGGAGGGTAGACTCTATGGCATTGTTCCCCACTGAGGTCCCAGTCCTCCCCAGGCTCCATCCCTAAATCTCCAGGAGTTCCTCAACCTGTATCGGGCCACCCCTCCCCCCCATCCCCCAGCGGTGGACAGGGGGATCCTGGCAACCCTAACTAGGGATGTTTTAATGAGGGATGGAGGGAGGGGAGAGGAGGAAAGAAAGCAAATAGATGGGGAAAGAGGAAGGAGAGAGAGAGAGAGAGAGAGAGAGAGAAAGAAAGAAAGAAAGAAAGAAAGAAAGAAAGAAAGAAAGAAAGAAAGAAAGAAAGAAAGAAAGAAAGAAAGAAAGCTTTGTGGCACCAAATTAGTTTTAAGAAGATCTCAAAATTACACTCAAAACAAACTCAATGGGCTTTTCTCTCTCCTGGACTCACCAGCAACCAGCCAGCCAGGCAGAAGCCACCACGTGGAAGCCAGCTCCCCCCCCCAACAAACTTAAAACAAACTCAGGGGCTTTTCTCTTCACCGGGACTCGCAGGCAACCAGCCAAGCAGGTTCAAGGCTCCATGTGCATGCCGGCTCTCCCCCCCCCCCCAACAAAGAGGCCCATGAAGAGCCTCCCGCAACATTTAGCTGTAAAGCCCATTGGTGCTGGGGAGAGAAACTGCGGCATGGCTGCTGGGCCCTCCTGAGTCCCCCCAACCTTCCTCTTGGGCAGACATAAGCAGGGGGAGACTTACCTGATCCAGTGGCTGGTGGGCAGGTTGGGCGGCACAGCACAGGGGCTCTTCCAGCAGTTCTAGTTGAAGCAGGAAGTAGGGCAGGGCCTGCACACGTGTCCCTCTTTATACGTCCTGCCCTACAGCCAAGCACCTTCCAGCCATACCTCCAGCCAGGCAAGTTGATAATTGGGAGGGTGGGGCCACCTACTCCTCAGGACCTGTGTGCTGACCCTGGGATGAAAATCCCTGCGCTGGGCTCCAGCATGCAGCTTACAGAGAGCACTGCTCCCAACCCACCCAAAGTCTCAGAAAGTGGAGGGGGAAAATTGGGGGAAGGCGCCAGCCCCTGAGGTCCCCCCCCCAGTTTATGCCTATGGAAACAGTGGCATGAGTTTAAGGTTTCCAAGTCCCCCCTGGCCACTGGCAGGGGACAGGGAGTTAGAGTTGCCAGATCCAGGTTGGGAAACTCCTGGAGATTTGGAGGTGGAGCCTGAGGAGGACAGGGACCTCAGGGGGGCTACAGTGCTATAAAGTCCAGTCTCCAAAGCATCCATTTTCTCCAGGGGAACTGATCTCTGTAGTCTGGAGATGAGCTGTAATTCTGGGACATCCCCCGGGCCCAACTGGAGGCTGGCATCCCTACCTGAGTTCTTTGACCCCCCTATTGCTGCAGCAACAGCAGGGTTGCTTTTTTAGTTTTGGCTTGCTAAAGAATTGGGCTCCACGCTTACTAAACATTAATCTTGGCAGGTATTACCTGTGTCATGTGTGATTCATTTCCTAGAACAACAGGGTAACCTCCAGTTTCTTATTTGAAACAGAAGGCAGTATCTCCATGTGGGGCAAGATTGGGTTTTCTGGCTTGGCAGATATCAGTTGGATCCATAGTAGCATTTCCAAATGTGTTCCTGTGGAATGCAGATATTCCCACCTTCCTGTGGCAGCTCAATATTCCTCTCAAAACTCTGTTCTTGCAGGTTGCCCCTCATCTTGAGAGGGGGTGAGGGGAAATTGTTGTCCATGAGAAACACTCGTGTGTTTTGCTTGCTTGGAGCTGTCTGCTGTTTTCCTCCTTTCACTGAGGTACAGATGTAGTCACAGTGTGAGACACAACAGCTGAGTTTGTGATTGCTGGTCCCTTCCCATTAGCCGTCTTCTGCCTGCTTACTTTGGTTTCACGACTAAGCTACAGCTGCTGCTGTTACCAGAGGTGGTTCCAACTTCCTGCCTGCTTCCTCCTCTCTCTGCCTTTGGACTTCCTTTTCTTACATCCTCTCCATTTCCATGTCATGGGGGGGGGGGCAACCTGGGCCTGAGCCCTCTGTATTGACACTGTCTCCTGGCTGTTTTCCTGCCCAACAGCCCTGTGATCTGCACCCAATGATGGCGGCTGCCCTCATAGCCAACAAGCCAGAATTTGTGAAGTTGTTTCTGGAGCAAGGCGTGCGCCTGAAGGAGTTTGTTACCTGGGATACCCTCAACTACCTCTATGACAATGTGGTGGCCTCCAGTGTATTCCATGGGAAGCTGCAGAAGGTGCTGCTGGAAGAGAAGGAGCGTTCGGCCTTCTCCAGAGTGCCCAAGGTCCAGCTGCACCACGTATCCCAGGTGCTAAGGGAGCTGTTGGGGGACTTCACACAACCTCTGTACCCGAAACCGAAGAACACCGAGCGACATCGTCTCTCCATTGCCGTGCCTCATATCAAGCTTAATGTACTCTATTTTTTTCCATGTTGTTAACCCCTTAAGCCTCTAATGGCCCCCTAGCTTTACAGTAGGACTTCTCAGCTCTTTCTACTATGGGGCTTCCTTATCAAAACCTGGGCTGCCCATTCTTCCCTATCCTCATAGTGGAGTGTAGTGGCCCAGTATACCAGTCTAGTGCACTGTATACCTGAGATATATGTGCTTCAGCCCAGCACCAATCCTTGCTAAGCTCCTAATCACAGTTCCCTCTAAACCGCACTAGGGGGCACTGGTGCATAACATTTCAGAGGGCTGCTCAGAGCATTTTAGTTTCAATTCACATCACTTTCCCTTTCCATAGGAAACAATGAAGGATGGAGGCACCTGGGGACCATAGAATTGGACCCCCTGGGTCCAATCTTTTTGAAAGTTGGGGGTTTTTTTGAGGAGAGGCACCAGCAGCTATGCTGCAAATTTGGTGCCTCTACCTTAAAAAACAGCCCCCAGAGCCCCAGAAACCTCCAGATCAATTCTCGATTATAGTCTATGGGGCTCACAGGTCCCCATAGGCTATAATTGAGTCAGAATCACTGAGGTTTTTTTGCACACCCCTATTATGCTATTCAGTATGATTTGTAAGCTGCCTTGAGTAACAGGAAAAAGTGGGATATAAATAAGTCGTTTGGGCAGGTTGATAACAATTAAGCAACTTCATGTTTGTTAGGTTAGGCAGTGCAAGGCAATGGTCCAAGCCTCCCCTTCCCTTCACCAGCTGAGAAGTGGTTTAAACTTTAAACCCCTTCTCTCTCTTCTCCCCACGCCTGCCCGCCTTGGCAGGCCGGCTGGGAAAGGGGAGGTTTTTGAAGATGCCCTCCCCCTTTTTTGCTTCCTCAGCTGGCCTGCCAAGGTGGGGTGGGGGAGCGATAGGAGGAGTTTAAAGTTTAACCCCCTTCTCTCTCCATTCTATCCTCCCCTCCCCTTCCCCAGCTGAGAAGGGGTTTAAAGTTTAAACCCCTTCTCTCTTCGCTTCCCTGCCCGCCCGCCCGCCTTGGCAGGCTTCTGGGGAAGGGGAGCCGGGGGCGGGAGCAAAGAGAAAAGGGGGTTAAAAATTTAAACCCCTCCTCTCTGGAGTCGCACTGCAGAAGTGGCATGATCTCGCTATTCTATTCTATGGGAACATAGAATAGAATGATGAGATCGCGCCGCCAAGGCGCAACTCCAGAGAGAAGGGGTTTAAAGTTTAAACCCTTCTCTTTTTTCGCTTCCCCCCCCTCAGCCTGCCTTTTGCTTCTCCAGCCAGGCTGCCAAGGCAGGCTGGAGGGGAAGCAAAGAGAGAAGGGGTTTAAAGTATAAACCCCTCCTCTCTGGAGTCACACTGCAGAAGCGGCGCAATCTCGCCATTCTGTTCTATGGCCCCATAGAATAGAATGGCAAGATTGTGCTGCTGATGCGGTGCAACTCCAGAGAGAAGGGGCTTAAAGTTTAAGCCCCTTCTCTTTGGAGTTGTGCCGCAGTGGTGGTGCAAACTTTCCGTTGTATTATATGGGGCCATAGAATACAATGGAGAGATTGTGCTGCTGCAGCAGCGCGACTCTAAACTGAAGGAGCTGGGGGCGGGGTGGGGAGCTGGGGGCGGGGCTTGTTTCTACCAGGGCTGCCGGATCAGTGCACTGGCACACTCTCATCCCAAACGACCCCTGGATATTACTATTTGTAAGCCGGAAAATGGTGGGGAATTGGCAGCCATGGAGGGCTGGGGCAAGGAAAGTGAGGGGAAAACTGATGTGTGGATGCTCTGCAGCAGCAAGAGGTACGTGGAGAATCATCTCTGTGTAGAAGCCACCCTGATCATAGTGCCTCCAACTGTCTTCTTCTAATAATTTTTATTGGATTTCCAATCAAGTTTACATACACATCAATTACAAATTTACAAAGACATCAATCTCAATAATAATAAAATATACTGTTCCAACTATAACAGATCATCACATAGGTCATATATATCTTATACAACTATTAATCCTAACAATCATTTGATGCATTATTAATTATTTCACCATAAATGTAATAAATCTATAATATCGGGGATTTCTTTCTGTCTTAGCAGCTGTTGTTTGCCTCCAGCCTTTACAAGGAAGTTCTTTTCTGTAGGTACAAGGGGTGAGTCTTCGATCCCTCTACAAGCGTTCTGCTGGCCGCATCGCATTCACCATGGATCCTGTGAGGGACTTGCTCATTTGGGCAATTGTGCAAAACCGCAGGGAGTTGGCTGAAATAATCTGGGCTCAGGTAAAGACCTTTTCCCAAGTTGTATCCAAACAGGAGGGATATGGAATGGGATAGTATAGCCTGGTCTCATCAGATCCCAGAAGCTTAAGCAGGGTCAGTACTTAGATGGGAGACCACCAAGGAAACCTTTGCAGAGGAAGGCAATAGTAAACCACCTCTGCTTAATCATTTGCCTTGAAAACCCAATGGGGTCATCATAAATCAGCTGTGACTTCACAGCACTACACACACACACACATCCAGACTGGACTGTACCCACCTCAAACGATCTTTTGGGAGAGCCTTCAATTTAACATAGCTTGGTCAATGGTTCTGAGCCCTACCTCCAAGGGCAGTGACCTTCACTGACCCTGCTAGCAAGCCCCCCCCCCCCTTAGTGAGAAGGTTAATGAGGACACTTTTGATAGCTGGGATACACTTGACAAAAAGACTTTGGTCTTACTCTGGTCTCACTGAGAAGTGAAGATGCACATGATTTACTGGTCTTCCATTTAAAAAATTCTTCCATGTGGAAGACTATTTTTATTTTTATTTATTTCACAGCATTTATAGCCTGCCTTTCTGCCATCAGAAGGGCCACCAGGGCAGCTAACAAATTAAAACATACATGATAAATCACATTTTAAAATCAACCTCTCAAAATATACCTATTATTAAAACAATTAAAAATATAGCTGGAATATGTACAAAGACATAAAAACAGCAAAACATTTGTCAGAAGGGAGAGATCCCTGAGGGAAAGCCAAACAAAACAAAAAAGTCTTCACCCACTGGAGGAAGAGGGCAACAGAAGAGGACAGGTACATCTTCCTGGGGATTGATTTCCAGAGCCTTGGTGACACAACCAAAAAGGCCCTCTCCTGGGTTACCACCCACCTAATCTCAGAAGGTAGGGGCACCCAAAATAGGACCTCCAAATATTACTGTAGTGGTTGGTTTTGTTCACAAGGGATTAGGTGGTCCTTCTGGTATGTTGGTCCCAAACCACATAGGACTTTGCAGGTGAAAACTAGTCCCTTGAATTGTTCCTGGGAATAAATTGGGAGCCGGTATAGATGGTCCAAGACTGAGGTGATATGGTCCCTAAGACCAATTCCAGTCAATATCCTGCCTGCAGCATTCTGTACCAAGTGATGTTTCCAAACACTTCTCAAGGGCAGCCCCATGTAGAGCACATTGCTGTAATGTAACCAAGGCATGTATCACAATGGCCAGATCTTTGCTGCCCGGGAAAGACTGCACTGGCTAACCAGTCAAAGTTGATAAAAGGCACTCCTGGCCACAGCTTATCTAGCAGTAGGCTAGGATCCAAGAGTACCCACAGACTACAGACCTGTTCCTTCAAGGGGAGTGCAACCCCATCCATTGTGGGTGAGACCTTAAATCCTGGGTCAGACCTTCTGCCCACCAGTAGCACTTTCAACTTGCCAGGATTAAGTTTCAGTTCATTAGCCCTCATCCACTCCAAAACTGCTCCAGGCACCAGTTCAGGGTTTCTACGGTCTCCCCAGAATCAGCTGGAAGCGCAAGAGAGAGTTGAGTGTCATCCACATATTGATGACAACCCAGCCCAAATCTCTGGATGACCTCACCCAGTGGTTTCATGTAGATGATAAAGAGAAGAATGGACAGAACAGATCCTTGTGGGACCCCATAGGTCAAGAGGCTGAGCAGTAGTCCCCCGGAACTACCTTCTGAAGCCAATCCTCCAGGTAGGAATGGAACCACTGCAGAACGGTGCCTCCCAATCTCAGTCCAATTAGGTGGTCCACAAGGATACCATGATATATGGTATCAAAAGCTTCTGACGGGTCCACAGTAGGGATGGGCATGAACCGGAAAAATGCAGTTCATTCAGTTTGTGGTTCATGGCTGAACCTTGAACTGAACCAGGAGGTTCATTTGCAAACTGAACCGGTTCGTGGTTTGTGGCCCTGCAATAGAACAGCGGTCCCTTTAAACAGGATTTGCAGAAAGCCAGAAAATCAGCTGAGCAAGGAGGTGCAGCTTGCTCCTGGCTGCTCACCTGTTTTGGGCTGTCTTCTGCAGTCCCTTTAAAGTTTAAATGAACAGCACAAGACAGCTGGAAACAGCTGAGTGGCAGGGAGTGCCTCCCCGCTGCTCAGCTGTTTTTGTGGGGAACAGAAAGTGTGTTTAAAGGGACTTGGAGTCCCTTTTAACCCCCGCTTCCTTCCCTATCCACAAACTGCTTTAAAAGTTCATGGATGTTCATGACGGTAGACCAGTCATGAACTCCAGTTTGTTAACCATGAACAGGGCAAAATTTGTGATGAATTTTGCTTCTTGGTGTGGTTCGTGCCCATCCCTAGCCTACAATGAACAGCATCACACTCCCTTAGTCCATCTCCTAGTGCAAGTCATCCACCAGGACAACTAAGGCTGTTTCAGTCCCATAACCAGGACTGAAACCAGATTGAAATGGATCTAAACAATTTGCCACATCTGGGAAAGCTTGAAGTTGTCCAGTCACCACCTGTTCAATCACCTTGCTCATGAACAGAACATTTGAGACTGGTCAATAATGATTGAGATCTCCTGAGTGCAGGATAGTCATCTTTAGACATGGACACACCACATTCTGTTTCAAGGCTGGGGTGATCACTACCTCTTTAACCCAGTCAGCCTTCCCATCCCTGGCAGATTTAAGTAATCAGGAAGGGCATGGGCAACTAGTTGTCAAGGAGAAAGGTTCTTGTTTTTGCCTTGCTAGACTTCTGCATGCAGGGTTCTGTTGGTTTGTATTGAGAACCATTCAGTTATGTTATTGTAGCCCCCATCTGCAGTCTGAAGTGGACTTATGGTACAGACCAGACACATGGTTATTGCATCTAAGAACTCAATGAGGGTAGGCAGCCTGTTTGGTCTGAGTGCCACCCCCCCCATCTCTCCATGTGAAGATGTAGCTGCACTGCTGGGGAGTAGGTGGAGGAGAGACAAGGATTAAAAAGGGGTTGAATATAGTGGTTGTTAAAGTGTTGGACAAGGACCTGCAATATCTGAGTTCAAATCCCTACTCTGCCATGGCTAATTGGGTGACCTTGGGTCACCCAGTTCACCCTAGTCACTCCCTCTGCTTGTTCTACCAGAAAGGGTTACTGTTGGGATAAATTGGCAAGAAGAGCAATGTACTGTGCCCTGAACTCCTTGGCAGAAGGGCAGAATAAAAATGCATAGATAGACACTTGGCCAGACACAAAGAGCATGCCTTGCTGCCAGAATTTCAGGGTTTCAGCTTGGCTGCTTGGGCAGAGAACCAGCCCTGGCATGCCACCAATTGGCACACACAGTGCAGGTTGCCTGCCCCTGAACAAGACCATGAGCAGAGCATAGAGAAGTCAGTGGGAAGCAGAGAATTGCTAAGATGCTGGCAGGTTAGGAGTGGGAAGGGTGATCTGTGCTGAAAGAGCAACCTCCCTTCTAAAAGCGAGGGCTGCAGAAGGGTACACCATCGACCCAGGGCCAGAAGAAGTATCATGTTCTTGCTAACCTGAATTCTTTTGCTGCAGAGTCAGGACTGCATTGCAGCAGCTTTGGCCTGCAGCAAGTTACTGAAGGAGTTGTCCAAAGAGGAAAATGACACTGACAGCACAGAGGAAATGCTGACCCTGGCAGAGGAGTATGAACATCGAGCCATTGGTGAGTCAGGGTTGGGGTTGTTCGGCTTCATGTACGGGCTGAATAGCAACTCCGGTTTCCTCTTTCTGTGCTGCCACCTCCTAGACTGCTTCGTTCCTGTTTCACTCTCTACACTGCATTAACCTCATGCCGCTCCCAGCCCAAGTATCCTTTTAGAGAAAAACCGGCTCAACTCTGTCCTAGAATTCCATCCCCTGTGGCATGATCTCACAAAAAACTGGAGTACAATTACAGCTATACAAATCCTAGGGATCTGATTCAGACTGAAACGTGGCAAGTTTTATGTAGCTGCTTGTTAAGCAATGCTCTCAATCACTGGAATCTGCACTCCGAAGCCAGAGTACAACTAATAAGGCTTAACTACATGTTACACAATCTTTGGGTCATGTCCAGGTCTACCCTCAGGACTTCCAATCAGATCTTCATTGCAAGGTCCCTTCTGGGAACTCAGTTTCTAGGCACTCAGGGGCACAATCTAGATTGGAAGCACAGTGTATAAGCAAGGAGGCCTCAGCTTCTCCCTGCACCGCACTGTTTACCTGGCCTGAAATGTTCCCCCAGAGCCACTGTTTGCTCTTTTGGGGGGAAATGGCATTACCACAATGGTATACATGGAGCCCAACCCTCACCCCCAACAGGGCAAATAGTATTCACTGTTCTAATTGGGAGAATGGCACTGAAAGGAAAGCTCTCTCCATGTGCCATCCAAATGTGAATTCGGACTGCCAACCCAACCCGGAGGCATACCTCAGGAAAATGTATCATGCGGTTAGGCTCTTAAGTCCATCTCCTATCTGTCTTTCGGTGCCCTCCTCTCTCACTTTGTTTCCTTCAATTCTAGCCACACACTAGGGTTGTGTCCTCTGCTTTGGTGCCTATACACTGTGTGTAGTGCGTGGTGTTTGTACATGGGCAGCCAGGCTGCGCTTCTGTTGAAAGTCCAAGTGAAGGAGAGGACGGGGTTTCGGCAAGCTGATGGCGGCTGTGTCTCCTGGGATCTCCCAAGGAGGTGGCTCGCAAACTAGCAGTTAGAGAGGGGGGGAGAATGTCCACGCCCCCCGTGGACCTTTGCAAAGGGTCTCCAGTCGTGGAGTGCTGAGGGTCGCCTCTTTCCCAGCACGCTGTCGGGAAATTGAGGCGTCCCTTTGCTCCGATGGTCTCTTTGCTGTGTTCCGGCAAGGACTAAGCTACGCACACCCCATCAAGAGAGTGGAGGTTGAGTGCCAAATAAGCATATCTGTCGGCAAGATCTACTTGATCTACATATGAAGAGTGAGTAAAGTTGAAACGAAACAACAAAGCGAAAGCCCCCTGGGGAAAAGCAAGGGGGGAGAGGGGACTCTCCTCTGCTAAAAACTGTTTATAAGCGTTACGGAGCTAGAAGAAAGGGGGGGCAGGTTTAAAAGCGGCAATGAACTATACGGAGAGATTCCAGGAGGCAGTTAAGCATTGAAGCAAGTTTTCAGGATTTTGGCAAACTTTGTAAAAGTAAACATCCTTGAAAATGGTGACGGACAACGTTGTAAGAGGAACAAGCGATATCAAAGCTTTCTCCAGGAAGTGGAAGAGCTGCTGGTTAACCATCTGACCAGAAATAATCATAGACTCTTGCAAACTGTGTGTTAAGCCTTTGTTCCCTGTTGGTATAAATGAGGTACTATGCAAGAACTGTGCTACATGTCAGCTGCTGCTTTTTAAAGGACCGTGTTAATATTGGAGAAGCGTCTAACCCAGAGGTCATTTCGGGGGGGAACGCGGGGGAACACAGTTCCCCCGGGTGAGGTACGGGGGGCACATGATGAAGCCCCGCCCCCTGCTTCCGGCCGCCCCGCTTCCTGCCCTCATTCAGCCAGGAGGAGGCAGGAGAAGAGGGAGGGTAAGTTGCTTCCTCCCTGCCTCTCCCCACCCCTGCCTGCCTGGGGCCAGGGAGGGCCTTCGCGGAGCTTCCTAGCACTCCCGCCGGCCTTGGAGGTCCACCGCCGGGCCCCTCATGGGGCTCAGCAGTGGAGCTGCAAGGCTGGCAGCGGTGGCCGAGACCGTTGGGGGCAGTGTATGTGGCCTTATGACACATTTCCGGTGATGTCAGGGGGTGTGGCCTTATGACACACTTCCGGTGATGACAGAGGGTGTGACATATGCTAATGAGTTCCCCTAGCTCTTTTTCTACGAAATGACCCCTGGTCTAACCAATGATCATAGGGGCTTCCAAGATCGAAGAGGAGAGTCAAATGGGCATTTGCAATTCGAAGGGCCTGTATGCAGACCATAAGTGAGGCTTAAAGCGAAGGAGTATCCTCCATGGTTATATCCTGATTAAGTCTGATGGGCAATAAGGCGACGAGACTCTCTTCAAGTCAGGCAGTGAAAAGCAAATTGGAACGACCCCTATGATTGAAGGCAAGAATTTAAGCGGAACAGTCCTGGAAAAAGGAGAAGGGACTTTGTTTTGAGATGGCCAGTTCCTGATACAGCAAGATGGTGCCACAGGGAAGAAGAAAAAGGAAAACAGCAATGGAAGAGAAAATGAGATTGTGTAATATCTACTGAGGGTGACTTACTGTTAATTTGCTTTTAATGGTGGAGGGAAAAATAATGGTTAAATGAGATGCCATTGTTCTCTGTAATTTGTGTTTAAGTTAAATAGTGATTCTCCTGGACTACTCTTCATATAGTCAGATTTGTTGGGATGTTTTTACAAGCTATGATGATGATTGATCACTCTCAATGTTAAAGAAAGCTTTTTATTATTGTTAAGGAAATTTTTTACAAGCTGTATGTGACCTCCAACCCTTGGGGGTTTAGTGGGTTTTCTTTTCTTTCTCCTATAGTGTGTAGATTCCCTCCCTAATTTCGTTGTAGTTTTTAGTAAATGCAAATAAAAAATCCCCTACGGGGGGCCATAAAAAAAAAGAAAGTCCAAGTGAAGGCAACAGATGCCTTGGAAATCATAAATGTCTCTGCCCGTTGTTGCTTTTCTAGGTGTTTTCACTGAATGCTACCGGAAGGACGAGGAAAGAGCCCAGAAGCTCCTGATCCGTATCTCAGATGCTTGGGGCAAAACTACCTGCCTGCAGCTAGCCCTGGAGGCAAAAAATATGAAGTTTGTGGCTCATGGGGGCATCCAGGTGTGATTCAGTTTTTTGGGGTGTTTCCAGACTACCACACAAAAATTGCAATTTTTTTTACTGTTACTGTACAAGAGCAGCTCAGTGATGATTGTTCATTAAGGTCATCCTCATGCCTTTTCGAGAAGGGATAGCTATGCAGGGGGAAGTTTATCCTCCCTCCTTTTACTGGAGAGTTCGTCTCCACTGCTGCTGGTGGGGGAACTTCAACCATTACTTTTTTCCAGGCAAAAAGTGCCTTCCACCACCAGTACTTCTGCTCCTGCTTCTCTAGGGATAAAAACCTCAAGGGGAGAGTCCCTTGAGTTCCCACCAATTGCTGCTACTTCAGAACTTTGCTTGCCTGTACTGTGCCCCATAAGAACTCCCAGGACATTTTTGGTTTCATTTCATGGAGGAAAATAAAATGAAGTGAGATGCTGAGCGGCTTTCTTTCTTTTCTTTTCTTTCTTTCTTCTGTCTCCCTCCCTCAAAACTACCAGAAGTGACTACCCAACTGAAGGGAAGCAAGACTCCTCAATTTTACTTTTTCTGATTTGTAAGAAATATTTTATTAATTTTCAAAAAGAAAGAATACAAAAGTGAGAGTATTACATTGTCATAGTATCTATTCAAAATTCTCATACATAACAACAATGTTAACTAAACCTTCACCATAACCAAGACTATTATCTTAGCAACACTTTATCTTACTAACTTATGTCTAAATAAACTACTAATATTTCTAGTATATATTGTCAAAAATTCAAACTATTGGTTATTTTTCATCCTTGTTAAAAGTTTCCATCTATTAATATATCTAAACAGACTACTATTGTTTCTACTATATATAATCAAAAATAATATGCTAACCAACTTTCAGCTATAACTCATTTTAGTCAATTACACATAAGCTAGGATTCCCTTTATCATTTTAGTTATAATACTTGATCCTTTTCTTCTTTTTCTGTGGTCTTTTTTTCATTACAGTCATAATTCTGTGTCTTTTCCCTTTATATACGGAAAGATTTGTTTTTTCTTCTTCCATTCTTAAAATAGTTGAGGATTCCATTAGCTCTGTTTTAACTTCTAACAAAAGTATATTCTCCCTTTCCACTTCAGAAATCGGAGGGTTCTCTTTGCCTGAAAAGATCATCCCATACAATGAATCTTGTATATTCTCATTTGCCGTTTCAAAAGTTGAAAAGTTTAGCATGCTTTTCATGGATCTGTTGTTTTGTGCTGTGTAGGTTCTTGCCATTTCTTTAGCTGAGGAGGCCATTCTATGAGCTGAATCATTGATTGAAGTCCTGTTGTTTAGCTTGAATCTGTTGTCTGTGTGTGTCTTCCCTCTTGGTTGTAGTTTCTGGTTGAATGCTCTGCTCCTTATCATAGAGTCTCTCTAAGACTTTGATTGCCTGTTGAATTTCATTTTCTGGTATCCCTTGGAATTGTTTCCAGGAAAATTGCATCTCTTGTATAGCATCTAAACCATCTGGGTTATCTGTCTCCTTACATGTATTTTGAAAAACCATTTCCTTACTGGATCCAAGTTTAAGTCTATTCAGCAAAGTCAGCAAAGTCCGTACTTGTGTTTTCAATGAATCTCACCAAGCTGACTGCTGTTCCCAGATACAAACCTCGGTAGCCATATTAAAGTCTAATAATCTTTCCACGTAGCCCAAACAATATACAGTCTCTTAGAATACCCAATCTTCCTTAAATTTTTAGAAGTAAAGTACAGTTTTATATTAAAAAGCTACAAAGTTAATGGAGATTATAATCCATCTGAGGGAAACATTCTCTGTAAATAGTATTGATCAGCCTCCTTTTTAAATCCCATATGGTAAAACAGGAGAAGTTATATTTTAAATTCAAATCAGTAGAGAAGTTGTGAAAGTTGTTGAAATGTTGAGATAACAATAGTTAATCTTTATGCCCCAATGGTGTTTTGTAGATCTTTACGTCCCAGTCTCATCGCAGCTGCTTACGAAAGAGGAAAGCGGGGGGTGGGGGGGAATCTCCGGTCCTCATTTCCTTAACTTGTTGGGCAATTTAAAGGGGTTTGATCAGAAGGTCATCAAAGTCTTAGATGTTGCATTTACAGGTACTCATGGTGTAGATCTTATCTTTATCGATGTTATGATAAGGCTCGATACTTTCTTGCGCGGGTGCTCACAGCTTATGCAGACATGGCTCCATGACTGCGCAACTCCATGCTTTTGCTTCAGGACTTCCCGGGCTTTCAGGCACTACTGCCATTTGGGCGGAGTCCAAGACAAGTCCACTGCAACCAGATCTCCCTCTGAGAGAACTGGTGGGATTTCGGGAGGCCCCGGAAAATCCCCTAAAAAGCACGGAGAGGCGGTGATGCTTGGGAGCTCTCTGAGAATTAACCGCTTTGCCGCGGCGCAGCTCCACCTCCTCCCAAGTTTAATTTTTCTTTTCAAATTAAAACCAGTGTGTGTGACCTCTAGTGATAGAAGACCTCCTCTCGAGACACCTCCATTTACACTTGCTTTTTGTTTTCTTGTTTTTTTGGCAAGCTCTCAAGGAGAAAAAATGAGCCTTTTGGAATGCTCATGAAGAAATATCACAAAATGATGATCCTCCTACCACCATGAATTTGTGTATACACGCTTTTGCCTCATTCCTGTGAGCAGCTGCTTGAGTTATTACCAGATAAAAGGGTTACTATGATGCCACCCATAGTCCCAGGTTACAAACATGTAGCCAGGTGGTCACAAAGGGGCACAATAGTCAAGTCAACTTCTTATCCATGCACTTGGAATAGACCACAAGGGAGGGCAGAGCTATGTGGTCTAACTCAGCCATGGCTGGAACACACCTCTCCTCTAGAGGTTATTTTGGGGTCTTTTTGGTTGTCATCCTTATTCTGTGGTATAAAACCCACAGTGGCCTCAGGCATGGAATGTCCTCTCTACAAAAGAGCATCCCATCCTTCACCGTCTGTCTGCCATCTTATATAGGATGTAGAAGCAAGCCCTAGCCAGCATTGTGCCTTGTTCTCACAATACCCCTCTCCCTTTTGCAGGCCTTCTTAACCAAAGTCTGGTGGGGAAAAATGAGTGTTGATAATGGAATCTGCCAGGTCATCCTGTGTATGCTGTTCTTCCCCCTGCTCTACACTGGCCTCATCATGTTCAGGTATTTGCAGGGCTTGGCTGCACAGCATTAAGCTTTCATGTTAATCCACACCAGTTGTGTGTGTGTGTGTGCATGCACAAGACAGCATACTGATGCGATACCAGCTAGAAGTGGTAGAGTCCAGTAGTACAATATCCACGCTGCATGCAGAAGGTCCCAGGTTCAATCCCCGGCAATTCAAGTAAAAAGAATCAAGTAGTAGTAGGTGATGTAAAAGACCTTTACATAAGACCCAGAAGAGCTGCTGCCAGTCTGAGTAGACAGTACTGACCTTGATAGACCAAGCGTCTGACTCACTATAAGGGAGTATTATGTGTATACAGAGAGAGAGAAATATCGATTAGCAATGCATTTCCAATACATGTGCATACAGCAACACAGACATACTAATTAATGTTTGTGATAGTGACACCCATAAAGGAAAAGTGTCATGGGTGAAGCAGTTCATATTTTTCAGCAGTGTCCTCACCCCACATTAGAATCAGCTGTTTTCCATCTGAATGTTGATAAATCATAATACACACATGAGCAACAAGCCTAAGGACTACTCTGTTAGCAATTCAACTGTGACCACATCGCATAGGTAGAGCGCTAGATACTGCAGAATCATGCAAAGATGTGAAATCCCTGCTGCAGTCATCTCTACCCATACCATTCTTTCCCACTTCCTTCCTTTCCACAGGGAGAAGAGGCTTCAGCCAATGACATGCCTGACTCGCTTCCGAGCCTTCTTCATGGCTCCCGTGGTCATCTTCCACCTCAACATTCTGTCCTACTTCAGCTTCCTCTGGCTCTTTGCCTATGTGTTGATGGTTGATTTTCAACCAGTCCCATCCTGGCAGGAGTATGTCATCTATTTCTGGCTCTTCTCCCTGGTGTGTGAGGAAACACGTCAGGTATTGGCTGTGCCGAGCATATAAGACGCATTGGTGATAATGCAATTGAAATGCTGTTTTCCCTCCAGCTAAAGCATCTGTTGCAGTATCACTAGTATTATGTTTGATTGTCATGGGCATCTACTGGTCCATACCTATGCTATCACTGGAGACCCTCAACACTCTTTTTTTCCTCCCTCTCTCTTGCCTGTGTCATTTTTAGAACTTTTAGAGTTTTTATAATGTCATTTATTTTTGGTAATGCAGTCCTAAGCACTAGTCCGTCAACTGAACTTAATGAGCTTAGAAGTGTGTAACATTGTTTAGGATTGCACTGTTACAGATCCTGTATCAGAACACTCATTAATGAGCTTCCTCCCATGGTAAAATATAGTCTCTGACTCTTCTCATTGATTAATTACTCCTGATGAGTTTCAGTGGCGACAAGCAGTACATTCTAAACCAATAGATACCTTTCAATCCCAAAAGTATGCAATCTTTTTTTAATCAATATGAACTGGATAATTTGATTTCTAGGACTTTTTGAAACTGTGAGTTTTCCACCTGTCTGGAATCTCTTTCAAAGTATGACTGAAGTAACATCTCTTTAGACTAACTGAATTTAGTTCAGCATAAGCTCTTGTATTCTAAACACTACTTCAGATGCTGGAGTGGAATTCATTTTACTCTGAAGTCATCTTTTTGTGACTACCTCAGACTGACTTTCATAGGTTTAGGTTTTTTCGTGATACTTGGTGGGATGAAGCAACAAGGAGCCAGCAATTCACTGCACTGTACTGGGCATTCTGTTTTACTGCTTAGATATCTACCCAGCTTGTATTAAATTCTGAAGTAGGTCTGAGCAGAAACTTTGTGGAGCTAAGGGAGACACACATTTTCCTTCGCTTTTCTGGGATGGATTCTGCTTCTGCTTTATATGGTAGGAGCACATGATCCCATTAAACACTGTCATTTGCTTCCATGCTTTAGGGGCCCCTGAATAATAAATTTCTGTTTAGAAAGCCCTAATAACAAGGGCTTTATTGATACAGCAAAACCACTCCTCTTCTCTCAGCTTTTTTATGATCCTGATGGGTTTGGCTTCCTGAAAATGGTTTCCTTGTACCTCAATGATTTCTGGAACAAACTAGATCTTTGCGCCATCCTGATCTTTATAGCTGGGCTGACATGCAGGTGAGTTACTATGCAAAGGTGCCAGAGCACTTTTTCTGAAAAGTGAAGAAAACAGGGCATTTTCAGGCATCACAGCACTATTTTTTTGTTTGTTTAAGTCTCAATGCTGAGGTCTGCTGAAAATGTTCTGCAGTGCGTGGCTCAGTTTTTGTCCATTCCCTCGGTTTCCATATGCCTGGGCATCAGGGCTGCAGCTGCATTCTGGTTTTGCCTCCTTTACCTTGGGGTGGCTGCTTGGGGCTTCTGTTTCTGGCTTCACTTGTGGGGAAATGGCCTTTGATGGACTCCTCCATCCCTTGGCAGGGACTGGAATTGTTGGTGAAGTCACCCAGTTCTTTTGCTTCTCCCACTACTCTTCTCCCAGGCAGGCTTTTCAAAGCCCACCTCCAGGAAAGTTCAGTCCAGTTCCTCCTCGGTCCTGGTCTGTTCTATTTCTCGTGGGCTGTTTTCATCTTCTGGCTGCTGAGCTATGCACGCCTTAGGTCCCAGAACTATTGGAGCAAGAGCATGTGCACATTCTTCTTTGCTGATTGCTGCAGGGGGGACGGTGGGGCAGAAATTGGCCTTCCTTGGCAATCAAGCCTCCTCATGTTTGGGAATATGCTTATTTTATTTTTATGCATTTATTTAAAACATCTGATAGCCGCCTTTCTACCTAGCAGAGCTCAAGGTGGCTTACAATGTAAATAACAATTATTAAAGACACCTATAAAAGGCCACAATTTAAAATCTCAATTAGGACTGCGGATAAACACAAACTAAATTAGTCAAATGCAGTCCTAAATAAAACAGACTTTAACTGCCTCCTGAAGACTGCGAGTGAAGGGGCCAGGGGCCACCTCCCTGGGGCTGTAGCTCCATAGCCATGGGGCTGCCACTGGAAAGGCCCTCTCTTGTGTACTCACCAGATGAGCTTCTTTGGTCAATGGGACAGTCAAAGGGGCTTCTTTCTGTGACCTTAGACCCCAGGCAGGAATGTATGGGAGAAGATACCCCAGTCCCAAGCCATATAGAGCTTTAAAAGTCACAAGCAACACCTTAAATGGAGCTTGGGAGTGGCTCAGAAGCCGGTATAATTGCTGTAGGATTGAGATCACATGATCCTGGTAACTCTCTCTGACCAGCAGTCTAGCTGCAGCATTCTGCACTAGCTGCAACCTCCAAATGCTCTTCAGGGGTAGCCCCAACTAGAGAAAATGTCACTAGTCCAGTCTAGATGTAACTAAGGCATGGATCACTGGGGCTAGATCTGACTGACCAGGTGCAGCTGGTGCACTGGCAGAAGCTGGGCAAAAGTACTCTGAGCCACCGCAGGTGTCCAGCGGCAGTCCAAAGCTGCAAACCTGGCTTTTCAAGTCGAGTGTAACTCCATCCAAGACAGGGGAGATCTCAGGTCCCTGATCTACCTTTTTACTAACCCAGAGCACCTCTGTCTTGTCAGGATTGATTATGTAATTTCCTCTGCATATAGAAGAGCCTCAGAAGGTGAACCCAGTTAATAAATATGCTTTTCATTTCCTTTCTCTGCGCTAAGATGGATCACAGCCACTTTCTATCCTGGAAGAATCATATTGTCTCTGGCTTTTATTATCTTCTGCCTGCGTTTGATGCACATTTTCACAGTCAGTAAAACTTTAGGACCCAAAATCATCATAGTGAAGAGGATGGTGAGTTGCCCTTGCTACTGATAACACACCACTCGGGGAAGCACCATGGTAGCTGCATGCAATCCCTGACCTTCGTTTCCTGCTGAGAGTGCCAGAGCCATGACAACAGTCACTGTATGGGCAAAAATGATTTCATTCCTGCATTCTCTTTGTGGATTCGCAGATGAAGGACGTCTTTTTCTTCCTCTTCCTCTTGGCCGTCTGGGTTGTGTCCTTTGGAGTGGCCAAGCAAGCCATACTGATCCATAATGAGAACCGCGTGGACTGGATCTTTCGAGGCGTTGTTTACCATTCTTACTTGACGATATTTGGGCAGATCCCTTCCTACATTGACGGTACAGAATTATTTTGTGCTCTGTGTTGAGAAACTTAACTTGAGGACCTGCCTGTGTTAAGCTAGTTCTGGCCTGATTAAATGACACATGAAGTGTACGCACAAGTACACACGCGCACACACAGCTTTCTTTCTGAGACACAGGGCGGCTGCCTGACTGTGCTCCTCAGCTCTCGTTTTTAGAGTGCTGCTATAAATAGCACTCCGAGCAGCTACAGATCCCCAGGAGGTGAGCTCTTCTTATTTTTCTCCAGCAACAGTTCAGAAGTAGCACGTTTCCTAAGAGAGGGGAAAAAGTGAATGATGTTGTGAATCAGCCTCTGCTCCACCAGATTTTCAGTCAGCTCATGTAGGACATCATACATTCCACCTCTCCAAAAACCACTAATGTTCCTAAATGCTAATAACAGAACCTGTTGTTATCTGTTATAGAAAATGGAATATAGAACACTCCAAACAAGCAGTATAAGGACTGGGCTTCCTTCTGTTGCTGGGATAACTCAGTATACTTTGCTTTCTATTTTTATAATGGCAGGAGTTAACTTCAACCCGGATCAGTGCAGCCCAAATGGGACTGACCCCTACAAGCCCAAGTGCCCTGAGAACAAGTCCAACCAGCAGCCCATCTTCCCTGAATGGCTGACTGTCATCTTGCTCTGCCTGTACCTGCTCTTCACCAACATTCTCCTCCTCAATCTCCTCATTGCCATGTTCAAGTGAGTCCCACCTTTAGTGTCCTCTTGTGCTGTTGCCATGTCCCTGCTGTCTCTTCACGCAGTGGCCAGCCAGGTGCTCCTGGAAGACCTACAGGCTGGGCACAGCAGCCAAGGCCTCTTCCCAATGTTGCTGTCCTGCTCATATATTCAGAAATTACAGCCTCTGAACATGGAGGTTCTGTTCACTCAGCCATTAGTGGATCTGTCCTCCACGAATTTTTCACGACCCCGTTTAAAGACAGCTAAACTAGTGGCTGTCACTATGACGTTTTCCACGCTGCAGCTGACTTTTGGGGTTTCATGGGAGTTGTGGCAGATCCGATGATCATACTATCAGTGAAATCAGTTCACACTTACATTTTTTCCCTGTCACAGATCCATTGAGGATTGATTCCGGGGGGGGGGGGGGGGTGTTGAAGGGTTTTTTGCACATGTGCCAAAGTGCTGCAGTGTCTCAGCAGCCTCAAGGGGGCTGCACAATTCCCCTTAAAGTACATTACGCACCTATCAAACTACAACTGAGGGTCATTTCTGGTGTGCCTGAGGAAGTGTGCGGGCACACGAAAGCTCATACCTTGAATAAACCTTTTGTTGGTCTTAAAGGTGCCACTGTGGACTCAGACTTTGTTCTACTGCTTCAGACCAGCATGGCTGCCCACCTGAATCTATCTTAATGGGATTGACTGTTTGTTTCAGCACTGGCATGCAAATGGGGGGAGGGGGGAGTTTGCCTTCCAATCTGGGTAGGTTTGGGGCAGCAATCCATAAGGTGGGGAAAAATGTTTAGATTCCAAGCAAGAGACTATCTTGCAAATTAATTCTGCAATGGTGATGGTGGGGGGAGTACAGGAAAAACTAGTTTGGGGAAAAATAAGGAAAGACCGGGATGGCATGGGAATGTTAACTAAGTTGTCTGGACATACGGAACAAAAAACCCAGTAACATTGGGGAATGAAACTGGAACATTAAGGCAATCTGGAAAAGGCCTACATCTTGTGGCCATGAAGAACTTGCATATTTCTGTCCTGAATCTACTGTTCATCAATGTTACTGGGTGCCTGTAAGTTCTATAGTTATGGAAACAGGAGATATCTCAACCCATTTTCTCAACACCATGCATGATTTCATAAAACTCTGTCTTGGCTCCCAGTTGTCTTTCCTTTAAACTAAAAAGCCCCAAGCGCCGTCCCCTTTCCCAGAGTAGAAGGGGCGCCGACTCCTTGTTCATTTTGGTTGCCTTTAATCTGCACCTCAAATATACACTTATATTTAAATGTTGTTTGAATGTTGAAATATTTTAATGTTTTGATGTTTGCCACCTTGGGGGGCCCTGTTTGGATGGAAAGATGGCATAGAAATGTGTTACATAAATAAATAAATTGTCCAGTGCTGTACTATCTTTTTTGAGATACAGTAGCCAACCGTATTAAATATGGCCACATCATAGATCTATAAAAGGGCATCATGATACTGGCTTTTTAGTTTTATTTGCCCACCTCTCTCCCCAGTTGTGGCTTACATTGTTCTCTCCTCCATTTTGTCCTCAAAAGAACCCTGTGAGGTAGCTTAGGCTGAGAGTGTGTGACTGGCCCAAAGTCACCCAGCAAGCTTCTGTGGGAGAGCAGAGTTTTGAACCTGGGTCTCCCAGATCCCAGTCCAGTACTTTTACCACTGATCACACTGGTTTTCAGTTCCTTTCCTAACCATTCCAGCACAGAGTTTGCCCTTTTCACTGCTGCTGCATGCTGAGTCAAGATTTCATTGATACTATAAATTCTTCCAGTAATCTCAGTAGGAGTGTGATTCTGCAAGACTTGGCCCATCCATTCCTACTGCCAGGATATTTGGGGTGGGCCACCACTGTCCCTGGTACAGGAAGGCTATTTAGATGACAAGCAGCATGTGACAGAGCCTCATCCTTTCTCTCTCTTTCTGTCCCAGCTACACATTCCAACAGGTGCAGGAGCACACAGACCAGATCTGGAAGTTTCAGCGTCACGACCTGATCGAGGAGTACCATGGCCGGCCCCCTGCTCCACCACCCTTCATCCTCTTTAACCACTTGCAGCTTTTTGTCAAGCGGGTACTTCTTCGGAAACCGGCCACACGTCGCAAGCAGCTCAGTAAGAAGCTTTGTTGTGGGAGGACTCACTGAAACAGTGTTGAAGGTCAATTTGGTCTGTGGGATAAACTGCGACCATAGGGTGATTTCTGCCCTTATTATAATGGAATGACACTCTCTGATCATGGAACAAAACTTGAGTCCAGTGGCACCTTTAAGACCAACAAATGTTTATTCAAGGTATGAACTTCCATATGCATGCTCACTTCCTCAGGTATCTTCAGTATCAGATATCTTCAGTATCTGAGTAAGTGAGTATGCACACGAAAGCTCATACCTTGAATAAACCCAGGGCTATTTTTGGGCAGGAACGCACAGGAACGGAGTTCTGGCTGGCTCCCAATTTGGCCACACCCAGCAGGAACTCATTAGCATAATAGGCCACACCATCATAGGCCACACCCAGTGGCAGAAACTCATTAGGATTGGCTACATTAGGGGTGTGTGGCCTAACATGCAAAGGCGTTCCTGCTCCAAAAAAAGCCCTGGGTTTTGACAACAAACAAGGTAAACAGAATAAGAAGCAAAAGGTGGGTGTGGCTGGATGACCACACTTCTGGTAACACGGGGTGTGGCCTAATATGCTAATGAGCTGTGATGTCATAGGTGTGGCCTAATATGCTAATGAGTTCCTGCTGGGCTTTTTCTACCAAAAAAGCCCTGAATAAACCTTTGTTGGTCTTAAAGGTGCCACTGGACTCAAGTTTTGTTCTACTGCTTCAGACCAACACAGCTGCCTACCTGGATCTAATTGATCCTGGAAGGAATGGGAAGAAATTGGAAATGTGATTCTGCTTCAGTTGGGTGAGACCTCATCCCTTCGATTGGAAGTAACGCCCTCCTGTTTCCAGTGCCAGGCTTTTTGAGAAGCTCCACTCTGACACTACAGCTTTCTTAATTACAAAATTCTCTATAGGTGGCTTTTTTCACAGCTTCTTGTGTCCCCCCCCCCCAGTTCTTCTTGACAAGTTGCCGGGGGGGGAGGAAACAAAATTCCTCTATATTGGCTTGTGCTGCTTAACAGTCAATTCACTCTGCAGTTATCACCTTTGAATTGCCTGTGGCACCAAATGACAGGGCCCTTGTTGCCCAGGGCCACCACCTGCCAAGAAGTATGGCGGGAGATGCCCAAAAGGCCCACTGGCAGAAGCAGACGCCAGGTGCAGAAAGGTGCACTGAACACAACCAAGCACAGGGGCTGCAAGGCTTGATGGACTCAGAGGAGGAATCACATGCAACCCGAGCAGGAGAATGAGCCTCTGTCCATGCAGGCCCCTTTTCAGTCATTGGGCTGACTAGACCCTCCAACGATTTCACCCGCTTCCCTTTTCCTATTCCTTCCCTATTTGACTTGGACTGCAGAAGAGAAACTTGAGAAGAATGAAGAGGCATCACTCTTGTCTTGGGAGATGTACCTGAAGGAAAACTACTTGCAGCATCAACAGTGCCAGCAGAAACAGAACACCGAACAGACAATCCAGGAGATTGCCAATAGGTGAGGGCTGTCTTTCCTTGCCTAAGTTGTCAGTCACCAACACCAGATCAACTGGCTTTCCAGCTCCAAGCACCATGACGGTATCACTCAGAAGAGCTCAAGAGGGTTCAACAGCTCTGTTGGTTCATGCCTTGTCACCACTCCCAAGTTCTTCGCTACAACTTCCACACTATCCCAGTCAGCCCCTCATGAGCTCACGCACCAGTTTAGCTGTACAGGTGGAACTGTATAGGGACAGATATGCCTGAGTGCAATGACAGATGGACATCCTGAATGGGGATGTAGCTTACCCTCCCCCCCTACAAAGAGCTGAGAGGACGTGGCAGCTTTCCACAGAATCTAATGCCTTGGCCATGCAGTGAACCCAAATCTCTTTTTTTAGGGTGGATGTCCTGGCAGAAACATTGGACCACGATCAGGTGAAAAGGACAGGGCTGGTGGAACAGAGGCTAGCATACTTGGAGGAGCAGGTAAAGCAGGCTTCCAAGGTTGCCGCTCACATTAGTCCATCTAAAGAAAGCTGAAAACTCATATGGAGGGTGGGTTCATTCTGGGGAGAAGGCAATCTGGTCCAAAGGCTAGAATATATGGGGAGCAAATTGGGGTCAGATTACCTTGTGAGACATCCTACTTACTGCATTATTTAATGTGTTTTTATACAAAGAAGAAGAGTTTCTTCAGATCCCTAAATTCCGGCTTGTCTGTGTCTTGTAAGCACAAAAGGAAGTAAAATGAGTTTTCTGTCCACATGCTTAACTAATACCTGTGCTGAGAGATTACTCTCCAAGGAAAGACTCCCTTTGAATGATTTGCCAGTTTTATAAAGCATTTCCTGAATATACCCAAGTTCCTTCTTGGGATATAGAGTCCCTCAACAACTATCTCCATCGTTCTCCTTTGGAGGCTGGTTAGAGAGACATTAACTGTTTTGTTTTGACCTCTAGATGTTCCAGTCTGCAAAGGCACTGCAGTGGATTGTTCACTCACTGTCTAGTAGTGGGTTTGGATCAGAGGATGATGCTCCCAGTATCGGTATGTCTAACTGCAAGCATTTCTAGATGGGTTATCCTCCCCAAGTTCAGTGTCTTTGGGAAGTGGGTGTTTTTCCTTCTTCCCCACAGCATTGTAGTGCATTTGTGTTAGGTTGTCAGCCTTCAAGTGGGACTTGGAGATCTGACAGAACTGCAACTGATCTTCCTGGAGAAAATGGCTGCTTTATAGGGTGGACTCTGTGGTATTATACCCTATTGAGGTCCCTGTCCAAACCCTGCCCTTACCAGGCTCCACCCCCAAATCTCCCAGAATTTCCCAACCCAAAGTTGGCAACCCTACTTATTGCACCTCCAGTGGTTTCCCTGATCCCCCCCCCCATCTTCCTCAAACCAGCTTTGTTCCAAAGTTTTGCAAACAAATGTAGTAAACCCTGGATGGCTGCTGTGTTGGTGGGAAAATTCAGATTTTTCTGGCCCATGTGGCAGCCATTTTCCCTGGTCTTGTCCCCACAGCAGCTGTTCCCTCCCATTGCCACTGGGAGGGTATTTTTTTTTAATCAGCACTGGAATATTGTTATATTGATATACTGTTGTAATGATAGGTGTAGTAGCTTCTCTATGTATCAGCTTTCATTTAAAAAAAAAGTATCCATCACTTTCCCTTGCAGAGATGTAAGGAAAAAGGCATATCTTCACAAGGGGAAAAGGCTAGAGACTTACTTTAAAAAAAATGAAAGCTGGGAATTTAGAAAACCTGCTACACTTATAGCTAAAAATAGTATATTGCTATAATAATATTCTTGTACTGATTTTTTTTTATTGCAAAAGGCCTTGTGGCCCAAGGGAGGGGAAGTAGTTGATTCTAGGGGGATTGGGGACAGGGACACTGCAGAGAAACCTGCCATGTGAAAGCCCTGTTGGTGCTGTGCTTTATCTGCAGCCACACCATCAATAGGGAACATGAAATCCCATTCCCGTATGGAAGCTACCAGAAAATAAGAGCCCTGAAATCATGTCTAGGACTCCATACAGAGAGTTTTTATCATGACTCAGCAAGCCAAACTCCTCTAAGAGCCTAGCGTGAAGGCTGCTTAAGTTGGTTAATAGCCCACTTTTCCTTGCAAAGGGCTTTAGGGCTAGAGACCCCCTTTTTGTGGGAGACTGGCCCTAGATCATGCAGAAGAAAAAGACCAAGTGGGAGCATTAGCCCCAAGAGTTACCACTATCAAGGGTCCTTCTGTAGGATTCTAGCTGTTATATGCATTTGTACCTGTTAGCCAAGGCATGCAATGTTGGCTCAGTCAAACAGTCTTTTCTGTCCGCAGACACTCCTGTGCTTATCACCTAAAAATGCCAAGCTAATGCTTAGCATGCTCATTGCTGTCAGCCAGCATTCAGATGCTCAGAGAGGTTCAGAAGCAGGGCTAAATGAGAGTGAATGGGTGCGTTCAGACGTGCCATTTGATCTGGTTTTGTGACAGTTCAGCAACGAATTTTATATGCACGATCATACAGTCAACATCTGCCTCCCGTCCCCAGCCGTTGGTTTCCGGCTCAAAACCGCTTTGACCTAGTGTATTTTGTTACCAGGTCCCAAAGTGGTGTTTTCTCAGCTCTCCGGTTTAAAGCCACATTTCCCCCCTGTGTGATCGCTCCTCTGGTGTCAAGCCACTTCCGGTTTAAAACCCCACACACACTCGAAAGCTGCCCGAGGCTTCCACTTTTTGCCCACCTTTTTTTTTTAGCGTCGGCGGTGCGTGCACAGGTGGAGCTCCGCTACCGTGTTTAGAAAACCAACATTTAAATGCTCACTTATTTTAGAGTTTAGATGAGTATGGGATCTCACGGAATCCATTTTCGGGTCAAACGTTTAAAGGGAAGTCTTTTGTTGGAGGGGTTGGATTGATTTGCCCTGGTAGTTCCCCCCCCCAATCTACGGATAAGCGCCTATGCGCATGTGCAAACTGAGGGAAAATTTAAAAAACCTGCCAACACACGTTCCCGTGCATCGGTAGTGTAGACACCGGAGAGCAACGTGACTGCGCGGTGAGGCAGGATAAGGGAGGTAAGTGTGATCACGATTATCCAGATCAAATATAATCCGGTCAAAACCGGAGCAGTTTAACCCGCTCTCAGCACACCATCTGACCGGCACCCATTGTGTAGCACATGTACAAGGCATTTTGTTTGTCCCAGTCCCCAGCAGAGCCCCTGAGATGAAGGAGTACCCTGAAGAAGAGGTCCCAGAAACTTTTCATGCTCCATACCACACGAGCGCCAGGAATCTCTCATATCCCAGTTCCATTGCTGTCCGTTTTCCAGTGCCTGATGAGAAGGTGCCATGGGAGGTGAGAGCTTTAATTCTTATAAAGCAGGAAAAAAATAGAAAGGAAAGAATAGAGCCAGGAACCATGCCTTACAACTGCAGTGACTTCAGTGTTGCTGCGTAACAGCTTACTCATGTCTAGGAAACGATGGATCTCCTCTGGAGGAGGAGGGCATCCCCACTTGACTCATTCTTCCCACTTGCTCCAAGGGGAAGTCATGAGACAGCCATACCTCTCTTTGGGAGATGGCTCCTACCTCAGTTCCTTCTCAATACCCTCATGAAACTACAGTGCCCAGGATTATTTGTGGAAAGCCACGTCAGTGAAACAGGTAAGTGTGTAATGCGAGGCCAAAGTAGACGTTCAGATTTTTGAAGAGTTGGGTTCCCCGCAGCCATACAGCAGCTGTGGCAAGTGGTGTTTAAAAGATAAAAGAGAGCCTGGATGGTCTCAGAATGCTGCCGGGGGGGTGGGAAGGGCTCCTGCCTCCCCCTCCCAAGCTGTTTTCCTATGCTGAAACAGTCCTGGGGGGTATTTACCTATTTTTGCTGCTCCACATGCACAGAATACTCCATGCTGAATAGCAAAACAGGAAAATAACCCCCTCCTGGTGCTGTTTCAGTGTGGGGAAAGGGCTGGTGGGGGGGAGAAGCCCTTCCTCCCAGCCCATCTGAATTTTCCTTCCTTCCTTTTTTTTTTTTTTTTTTTGAAAGCCATTCCCCACAACTGCTGTGTGGCTAAAAACCCAAATGTGTAGGCTGGTACACATAGATATGTCCTGGTCCCAAGGAACTCAGACCTAAGTTCTGGGCTCTCAGCCCTGCCTACACCGGAAGTGGCTGGCAGCATTCTCCTCAGCTGGCCCTGGCACAGGAAGACCGCCCTGGCAAGACTAACCTCAGGGGGGTCGTCTTCAGCTTTCACTAAGGATATGCACTGCACCGTGTCAGGGCTGCCACAGAAAGAATCTGGATCCAAGAAAAGTCATACATGGGGCAGAGGGTTTCTTCCCCCCCCCCCCCATTGTTATGTTCCCAAGTACATTTTGTGGTTGAAAAGTGGGCAGGCATGTTTTGTAGATTCTGAAATACACTTGAAGCAGCCTCTTATCCTGGCAGGTGGAGTTTGAGATCTACAACCCCCCCTTCTATAGTGAGGAAAGAAAAGAGACAGATCCTCCCGAGTTCTCAAGAGAGTAAGTATACCCTCTCTCTCACTCACTGTCGTGAGGCCTGTCTGTACTGGTTTCTTCTAGGGGGGGGGGTGTTTCCACCACTCTCTTGTCCTTCCGGTGTTTGCCTTTTGCTCCTGGCACACTCTACCTTTGGCTCCATTTTTCAGGTAGCTCACATGATAAGACTTTGCTTCTCTTTCAGTACCTTGGAGAATCTTTCCAAAATAAACTTCAACAGTATGGATGGGGAGGTCAACAGACAGAGCTTTCACGGCACCTACATTGTTCAGGATGGCCTGCCACTGTGAGTCTGATAGCATTGATGGGAACCTCCACTGCTGTGTCATATGTTCTTTGCTTTGGGTAGAAACTGGGTGTCCCGAGGCGTCACAGTCAGATTTGGCCCATACAAGGACATCATGCAGAAGCAATTCAAAGGAGAAAAACACACTACCTTTGTTCCATTCATATTTACAGATGCAAATGGGATACACAGATCAAGTCTCATGACAATGAACAGTAGATTGGATAGAGCTCCAAATATGTCTGCTCAATTTCAGACTAAGAGGTTTAGGCTAAGGGAGTGTGACACAAAATAACCAATATTACAAGTAATGAAAAATTGTATTATGAGCCTGTTCCTTGACAACATCATCAGCATCACTAAATATGGAATTCCCTTCCTAGGCATAGTTTCCTCTTGCTGTCATTGTTATCCTTTCGATGCCAAGTTATGGCCATCTTGCTTGCCAGAACATTTAACTACAATTAATATTGCTTTTACCAGTTCTTTACTTCCACTGTTTTGTGTGGTATAGGCTTTACCACTTTTATTATCCCTATATTCATATTGGTGTTTTTTTAATTAAATTGCCAAGTTGCTTTGAAAGCAAGTACAGTACAAAGGTGGGATTGATTTTAAAAAAAAACACACAACAGCTGTAATAAGTAAATGTCTTGAATGCACCCAGTTCAAACAATGGTGCTTCCATTTATAGGAGCTCATTTATAAAAAAGACCTCTGGGAAAACTTCCATCTAAGACCTTGGGGAGTTAAAAATATATGGTGGCGCTTATAGCCAAACTAGACATGACAATAGGAGTTCTGTGAATGGATCTTTTGCACATATTGAAAGTGAAAGAAGTAGGAGAGCTGGTAAGGAGTGGGAAAATGTGGAGGGGGAGTATCGCTTTCCCTCATGCCATTTTGATCTTGGTCCCCTCCACACACAAAGAACTGCTACATGCAAATAATAATAGGAGATCCATTTACAAACCTCCCAGTATCACATCTTGTTTGACCCCTAATATGTACTTGCATCTACTTATTTATACCCTGCTTTTCTCTCCAATGAGGACCCAAAGTGGTTCAGAGCATTGCTTTCCCCTCCTCCATTTTATCCTCACAACAATGCTGTGTTAGGTAAGTTAGGCTGAGAAAATGTGATGGACCAAGGTCACCTGGCAAATCCACGGCAGAGTGGTCTTACTGGTTTATTATACCATCGACTTTCCTAGGCAACATCATACTTCAGATGAGCAAAGTGGACTGAGGACTTTGCTCCTCTTGGTCTGAAGGTGGAAGTAGAGAGTCAGTCAGTGGTCAATGTCCGGGGGGGGGGAGAGAGATGCTGGGAACCTATCCCATACACAGTGGGTGCGTTCAGACGTGCCGTTTGATCTGGTGTTGTGACAGTTCAGCAATGGATTTTATATGCACGATTACACAGTCAACATCTGCCTCCCGTCCCGAGCTGTTGGTTTCCAGCTCAAAACCACTTTAACCCTAAGTATTTTGTTACCTGGTCCCAAAGTGGTGTTTTCTCAGCTCTCCTATTTTAAAGCCGCATTTCCCCCCTGTGTGATCACTTCTCCGGTATCAAGCCACTTCTGGTTTAAACCCCCTCCCCGCTCAAAAGCTGCCCAAGGCTTCCGCTTTTCACCCATCATTTTTTTAGCGTCGGCAGTGCGCGCATAGGTGGAGCTCAGCTACCATGTTTAAAAAACCAACATTTAAATGGTCACTTGTTTTAGAGTGTAGATGAGTTCGGGATCTCACGGAGGCCATTTTCGGGTCAAATGTTTAAAGGGAAGTCTTTTGTTGGAGGGGTTGGATTGATTCGCCCTGGTGGTTCTGCGCATGCGCCATGGTAGTTTCGCCCCCCCTTCTACAGATGAGCGCCTATGCGCATGCGCAAACTGAGGGGGGGGGTTTAGCCCCCCGAAGGGTTTTTTTTTTTTGCATTTTTCTATCAATTACAACGAAAAAAGGGAGGGGGAAATTAAAACTAAGGGAGAAAGGAAAGTAAACCACTAAAAACCCAAGTATAGGAGATCATTACAACAGCTTGTATCAGTTTTAGTCTAAAATGCTATCATTACCTTGAACGTGGTCATTTAAGCTATATTATTTATCTTTATAGTTATTACTTTCACTGTTTAAAGAAAACCAGAAGAGCATCAACATTTAATAAATGCTTATAAGGCACAATTCAGAGTTCTTCAGCCTTCATTTTATTTTGTCCTTTCTAATCCTCAATTGGTAATCGCGTTTGGGGGCCGCTGCCCCCTTCTCAGAAGCAGAGTCCTCATTGGAAGTAGAATTAGAGGAAGTAGCTATATTGCTAGGTTTGTTGTCTCCATCTTCTTTGTCATCCTCACCAGACTCTCCCTGTTGCAGTCTCAGAAACTCCCGCGCTTTGAAGACAGAGTCAATCTTTTCTTTTTTATCCTTGAGTTTGAAAAGGACACCTTCAGGAACCAACCATCTATAAGGAAGGCTGTTTGTTTGTAAAAACATAATCAAGTCTTTATATTCCTTTCTCTTCTTCCTTATTTCGAATGGGATATCTTTTAAAATCCTGATGATTTTGCCTCCAATTTTCAAGGGTACTCCTGATGTTGCTTTCAAAATTTGATCCCTCACATGTCTCTTTGAGAATCTTACCACTATCTCTCCAGGCAGATTATTAGGCTCTATAAACCACATCCATTTCACTTTTAAGATGTTCTGCTTTTAAATCTGCAGTTGGAGCCAACGCCTCACTCAACATCTATAAACCACATCCATTTCACTTGTAAGATATTCTGCTTTTAAATCTGCAATTGGAGCCAATGCCTCACTCAACATTTGTTTTAGATTCTCATCTTTAGCCTCAGGGACTCCTTGAAATCGAAGAACAAAGTTGGCTTTCTCCATTTGTATCTGCAATAGCTGAGATTCGGAGCTGAGATTTCCAGTGACTGCACCTTTTTTTTTACCTTTTTCAATTTGGTATCCATTTCCTTCTCCTTCTCAGCTGCATGCTCCAACAATTTTTTAGTTTCATTCAATTGGAGCTGCTGAGCTGCAAAGTTCTGATTTAATGCTGTCAGCTGTTGGTTGATATTTATCATCTGATCCAGTAGAGGGCGGAAAGAGTCCGCTAACAGTTTAGAAAACTCGGTGGTATCTTCCGGTCGTGGGCTCATACTTCCAGGAGGTTTTAGTTTCATCTGCCTTTCCTTCTCCATTCCCCCCCCCCCGCCATGTTAGCAGATTGTTTACTTTTAAAAAGAAATTACTAAAGTCTCTCAAATCCTCCCCAAACATTATTGGTGGCGCTCTGGTGTGTTTCTCAAAACAGATTTCCACGATTATACTTCAGCTCCCCCTTACAAAATAACTACTTCGCTCATGCGTAAGGGAGGGGCCCCTCCCCCGCTCGCTAGTCTCGCCTTTCCTGGGGGAGCTTTCTTTTATAATCCCAGTGTTTTCATTTGACTCGACTCACTGTTCATTGTTGGTCCGGAGACTTCGCCAAAGGTATGTGTAAAACACCCGATCTCCAACGCTTGTCCCGGTCGGCGGCTTGAATTCCATTGCGGACACACAACAGCCGGACCGTTGGGGTGGAAGAGCGCCTCAATTCCCCAGCTTCGCGCTGGTGAAGAGGTCACCCTTCAAAAGCCCCATGGCTAGGAGCCTATCACAAAGGCTCCAGAGGGGTGGCGGACAATCGCCCCCCCCCCAGCCACTAGTGCGTGGATCGCCTCCCCGGGAGCTGCCAGGGACACGTCCACTAGTGGGTCGTCATAAACCGGAAGTAAAAAAATTTGAAAAAGCCACCGACACACGCTCCCGTTTGTTGGTAGTGTAGACGCCGGGGAGCAACATGACTGAGGCGGGATAAGGGAAGTAAGTGTGATTGCGATTATCCAGATCAAATATAATCCTGTCAGAACCGGAGCAGTTTAACCCACTCTCAGCACGCCGTCTGACCGCACCCAGTGTGAAGCAGCATCTGGGGTTTTTGAGTGGCAACTGACAGACACTCTGCACATGCTCATTGATTGTCTCATCTCTATGTGTCAGAACTCCTGATGAGTTCTAGGTCAGATTAAGCCCCTGTTGGTTATTACTTGTGCTGAAAACCTTGTGACATTTCTCTACTTGTTATTCTCCCCCTTTAAAACAAAGATTTTTCCCTGCAACTAAAACATAGCCATGACCCCAGCCCATGATAGGACCAATGTGGCTCTTTTCCTTACAGGAATCCCATGGGAAGAACTGGATTGAGGGGCCAGGGGATCCTTCGGTTCTTTGGACCAAATCATGCACTTCACCCTGTTGTAACACGGTAAGTGGAATGAGAAGGCTCTTCCCCACCCCATTAGGGCAGCCTGCTACTCGAAGAGGTCAGCTCTGTGGTGATGACAGTGCTAAGAACCCTGAAAGAAGCTGGAAATGAAATGCTGAAATGATTTCTACTAGGGTTTTCCCCCCAGAAGTCCCTTAAGAGTGACAAGTCTGTCCTTTCTCCTGGTTCACTGAGAACAATTTTATCTGGGTCATTTTCAGAGAAATTGGATGAGTTTTTCTCATCATTTATACCCATCCAGAGGCTAGAACCAGCCTTCTTTTTACTGAGTGAACACTGTGAAGTGCCCTGCCTGTTTTTACAGCTCTTTTTTAGCCTTAGCTGATGGCTGCAGCATCATAAGAGTTGTATCCATGACAACGGCAGACTAAGAAAAGGAACACGGGCACCCCTGAAATCTGGCTCGCTTCCTTGCTTCAGGAGACTTTCCGTTGCTTCCAAAAGTCAGAGTTTTTGTCACTCAGTCTGAAATCTGATAACTGCTCTGTGGCAGAGAAGGGGTGGCTGGAGGTTGAGGACATCACCACATGTGCCAGGGGAGTTTGTCAGAGTAAAAGGTAAAGGTTCCCTTGCTCGAAAGCCAGTCAAATCCGACTCTAGGGTTGCGGTGCTCATCTCCGTTTCAAAGCCGAAGAGCCAGCGCTGTCCGAAGACATTTCCATGGTCATGTGGCCAGCATGACTAAACACCAAGGCGCACGGAATGCTGTTATCTTCCCACTGAAGTGGTACCTATTTATCTACTTGCAATTTCTTGCTTTCGAACTGCTAGGTCTATCAGAGTACCAAATGCCTATGCCTATCATGTAATCTTCCTCTCTGTCTTTTATAGCTGGAGGAGGAATCTGGATGGATCCATTGCTAGGAAAAGCTTAAATAAAATGCTGGAAGTCTTAGTTGTCAAATTTCCCTTGTCAGATCATTGGGCTTTACCTGGGGTAAGTGGTTATGAGACTCTCCACCAAGAGGCTGGGAGGTGTATGCAGGCATCTTAATTAAGTGGCAGTGTGACATATGCAGTCAAAACACTCATGTTTGAACTCTACAAAAATCTTCTGTAATGGAAGGAAGCAGAGCAGGCTGCTAACAAATGCCTTGCAAAATAAAGCTTGGGGAATGAGTGGCTACTAGAAACAGGGTCCAGAGCATTATTGGCTCAGTAAACCAAGCTACTTTACTGGAAAGCTGGCAGATCTCTCTCTTTTTCTGAGCCAAATTCTGAAGTCTTGGAATGAATGAAAAAGTCCATGACACTCCCAGTGGCATCAGCAGTAGCACCGTGGGCTTTGCCAAAAACCTCATATTGAAGATGGATCATTACAGGCCACAATAGCTCTTTTTCTGCACCCAGGAAACAAAATTCTGGCAGCATCTCTAAGGCCCACATTAAGCCATCCCTCTTTCTTGATCCTGTGCCAATGAGGTCAATGGATGTATTATATTAGGTGTATCATTCATCCCTTATTCCTCCATGTGTGCTGTAATTTGTGCCCAGTTCCTAGAATGTGATTTTGTCACCAAGATCCTCTCTGACTCTTAATAATTCAAGCTAGACAGTCTCAGAATTTTAGTCTGCAGCATACATCAAGATGGCAGCTATGATGCCTGATCCAACTTTCTTGCATCTTGGAGAAGTGTGCACTTGCTGGAAAGTGGCTCTTAGCCCCATGTCTTGATCATCATCATGCAAAAAGCCTTAGCTAGTGTTTACAATGAGTAATATTTTCATTCTGTTCAGGGATCTCTGGAGCCAGGAGAAGCATTGCCACAGAAGCTGAAATGGATCCTGAGACGGGAGTTCTGGCCACAGTTTCAGAAATTGCTGAATCAGGGTACAGAGGTATTGACTGGGATCTGGCAAAAGCAGAGAGGCATTATATAAGCACTGTCTGAACACTTTTATTTCCTTTTTCAAAATGCAGAGCAAATGGTGGAGAAATGTCATCAGTGCAGCGTTGGTGCATAATTTTCTAAATGGGCACATGATGTAGCCTTGAATCATTGTTTATAAACTAAACATCAGTACTTTGCAGTGGCCTATCATCACTATAAATACTTCTCAGCTATGCCATTTTTGCAGATACTGAAGCAATTCTGAAACTGGAAGACCCACAGTATTTTGCAGAATTGCATAGTCATCACTCCCTTCATCATGCCTTTCCCACAACTTTCTCACCTGAGAGCTAATCAGTCCGACATGGGTTTGGGGCAGAAAGAAGGTGAAAAAAAAGAATTAGGGTAGAAGGGGTTGCTAAGGGAAAAGAGGAGGAAATAATCGAGGAGGCTTGACTTGGGGCCTGTGGCTCCAGAAAGTGGCTCAAATAGTCTTCTGTTAATCAATATATGAATTGCAGTAAGTTTTTGGTCAACCCTATTTGGAGCCTGGAAAGTCCAGGCACAATCAACAATATCCTAGCCTTACGTATTTTCAACAAATATTGCATGGTGCTTGGCTATTCAGGGAGGCAGATTATATGAACCCTTGGTTCTGAGGCACAGGCATGTGAACACATGAATATACCTTCATACCATTTTTAACCTCTTTCAGATTCAACAAAACCTACCTTTTCTCTGACACCTGTGACATAACCCAAAGAGTCCCTTGTTTAATCAGACTGGTAGTAGCTCTCCAAGGTCCTAGCCCTGTCACTGATTTCTGGACTGAACCTCAGACTTGTTTACTGCATGAGCCTCATCACAGAGCTACAGCTCGCCATTTGGATTCTAAACAGTGAACAGTACATAAGAGTTTCTGGGCAACTAGATCCTTCTCATTGGCACTCATCTAGAATGTAATTAGTCATCATTGCAGGAAGGCTAGATGTAAGACAGGATGAGAACTTCTGATTGTGTCAGGTCTAGGTGAAGCAGTCAAAGCACACATACACACACTAGCAGTCCAAGAATTCTCTAGATTCTTGGGCATTTCCCTATTTTCTGCTAGCAAAGCCACCAGCCATTTCACAGCCCCCTCCCATGCCCCACCTTAAGAGAGAGGAACTTTAGAACCCCAGTGAATTCTCGTGACCTTCAGGAAGGTTCCATCCTCACCAGCTTCTCTCTTTCCATCTCCATGTATCCCATGCTCTTCCAGGTTTATAAAGGATATATGGATGATCCGAGGAATACAGACAATGCCTGGATAGAGACCTTGGCCATCAGCATGCACTTTGAAGACCAGAACGATGTGGAGATGAAGCGTTTAAATTCGGTACATATCTGTAATGCCACTTCCTTCATAGATCGTAATAGGGTTCTCCTTTAGTTGCAAATTCTGTGATGAAAGTGTCCAGTGGGTGCCACATTTTTGCAAATCCAGTTACGTGGCTTTGACTATACAACAGGGAAAAGGGTAGTTTTGTGAACCCTGGGCACCGTGGTAGGCATGGTATCAGGCTAGAAAGAGAGAATGATGGAAGGCTTTAAAAAGCACACTGATTATGTGGAAATGGACATCACTGGGGAAAAGAGAAGAAACAGCTACTAGAGTAGAAGTGCAAAGAGTTTGTGTATGTGAAAGAGAATGGCTGAACATTACATAACAGTTGCACAGAATGCTGTAAGCAGAGGGACATTCACTAATCCTTAGTGCGTGTATTACTGAGATCTGGATGCATGAGCAAGGTGGCATGAGTTTATCTCAGCTGTTCCCACCAGAGTTTTCAATTCAATAGCAGGCATGCCCTGGAGGCTGGGGTGGTGGTAGTGTTGCCTTGGTCTGTCATGATTCCCTCACCCTGACCAAGGTGGTCTGTACCAAGTTCACCAAATTTGGAGTGCTTGTTCCTGTCACTTGGCTCCCAACACTGGACTGGGGTTCTGGTGGTGTATCACCCAGCTCACTATCTAGCAGGCTCCCTGTCTGAACTGGTACTAGTGTTGATACTGGAGTTCATCAGATTGTTGATTGTGAAGAGTCTTCAACTTCCACACTGAGGCCTTCCTATCTGGAGCAGCTCAGGATTTCATGGCCCTCATAACAACCATGGGTCTGTCTCACTGTCAGCTGGCACCAAGTCTGGTTCACAGAGCAGGTTTCATCCTGGATTTCTTAATGATGATTTGGGAGTGACTCCATTGTCATGGACTGATCACTGTCTTGTTGGGTTTAGATTTAAGGAAACACAGAACAAAGGATGGTGGATCAATTAGAATGAGCAGGCACTGAGAATATGGCCACTCTCAGCTTAAGCTTTTACATGCGCCTAGTTTCCAGCAAGAAAGGGCACTAGATGTTCCAATAGAATATACCAAAATTACTGGAACTGCGTCTGCTTCCCCATGATTTCTGGAATTAGAGGAGTGCTAAATGGCAGCTCACATAGAATATGATATGGGTATTAGCTCGATCACCAAGTTATCTTACACTGAAGGTTGGTACTATTAAGCACTCAAAGGCTGGATAGATGGTTGCAACATAGTTTATTCTGTGTAACTTACAATGGGCGCAGTCTTGTTTATATGTTTATTATTTTGTTTGGTTTTTTAAACTCTGTTTTGGCAGGTTTTAGACGTTTGTATAACACTGCTGTTGACTTATTGTGTTTCTCTTAATAAATATATATATATTTAAAAATAGAATAACTTCTGTTCTTCTCATCTCTCTGGGTCTTTTTCCATCAGTTTCTTCAGGGCTGTGATCTTGAGGTGACTGTCCGGTGGCAAGTTGCGGACAGGAGGATTCCCCTTTATACAAACCACAAGGATATCCTGCAAAAAGCATCTGTCCTCTTGGGGGCACACTACTGATGATGATGCAGCCCCCTGCACCAACAGCTGCTGTCCAATTTCCTCTTTTTCTAAAGAAAGCAAATCTGAGTGGTTTATCTCTGGTTGTTATCGTGGTACATGTTTCCTATGCACAGACTACCATTCAACTCACTCTGGACTTTGGAGTCATAAATGAGATCTTAGAAATCAGACTTATCTTGGCTCACTCAAAGGTTGGCCTACGCTCTCAAAAGAGAAGGGACAGAACACTGTATCACCTGGAGCAGGGGTACTGAAACAAGTCATTCCATTTCCAGCTGTGCCACAGGCTCTGTTGGGGACTGTGATGAAATCCCTGCACCTCTTTTGTGGTATTCTGAATCCACCAAGCACCAGATTCAGAACAGGATGGCTGTTATAATGCTAATGGCAAAGGGGCCAGTGACAGTGCCTTCAAGATGGATGCCCTGTCATCAAGGCTGCCTTTGGAAAGTCAGCAGTGTACTCCATATGCAAGCTGTTGCCCAAAGACTCCTGGGCCAGCCATTTATTGGAACCAAACAGCTGTTAGATTCCAGCAGATCCATAATACATGGCAACCACTGGCATGCTACTGAGCTGGAGTTTGGAGAATTTCAAGAAACCATCTCCAAAGTTGGGAGGAATGACTGTGAAGGTGGAGCCATGAGACTGAATGTTGCTCTGTGGCTTTGTTCTGGTTAAGGGGCTGTGTGGACTTCTGACCAGGATAAGGCTGGAGATTCTTCCTGACCCCAGATTTCCATCAAGTATAACCAGTTGTTTTATCTGATGTTCCAGAACTGTTAAAGCAAGAGTAACCTTTGCTTCATACTTCATCCCGCTGAGCTAGACCATGTGCAGGTGCAGAGAACTACAAAAGCCCCAGTTGAGTTTCTCCTCCTTTTTGAGAGAGGAGAGAGAGAGGAGAGATTGGATTTATACCCCGCCCTTCACTACCCAAAGGTGTCTCAGAGCGGCTTACAAACTCCTTTCCCTTCCCCTCCCCACAACAGACACCCTGTGAGGTGGGTGGAGCTGAGAGAACTCTGACACAAACTGCTCTTTTTCAAGGACAGCTCTTATCAGAACTATGGCTTGCCCAAGGTCATCCAGCCAGGTGCAAGTGGAGGAGTGGGGAATCAAACCCAGTTCTCCCAGATTAGAGACCACACACCTAACCACTACACCAAACTCTGCAGCACACATACAAAGGAAGTTATTTATAGTACCTACATTGTTTACACATCCTTCATCATTTTTTCCATTTGTGTATTCATGTTCATCCTTTCGCCACACAGCTGATAGCATGTTGAGTCTTTGATTCACATAATGTTGCCTTTTTCCGTTTCTCATATCTCAGGTAGCAACCACCCATAAGGATATAACAACACTTCTCTTTTGGCTCAGATCAAAGATCCACCTCATCCAGTATTTATTTCTAGCTATGACTAGCTAGACAAGTATGATTTGACGGAAGTAGCATTTCCAGTTGTTTGGCCCCAGCTTCTGGCAATCAGATATACTAAAAATCTACTTAGAAATTAGGTGAAACTGAAACATGAAGGTCTATACAATATTTGTAGTTTTGGTTTTAGCAACAAATAGTACTGTCCTCAAGAAATGTATCTAACCCACCTCTTAAATGATTAGCCAGAGCAGTAACAAAAGGCACACAGCTCCTGCTGTTAATCAATGTATTGCCTTTCACACTCGCACAACTTTGCATTGCTTACAGTGAGCTTGTATCTGGTTGTCTCCTTACAGTGCTCTATATTTATAGGTGCATCCTACTTCCATACACATTTGCCTATGCTGGAAGGAATAGACTGACCTTCAGGAGCTCTCCACTCTTGTCCTATATTGTCCTTAAAAATACAAATAAATAAATTATTCCTGCACAAGAATTACACACCGTTTTGTGATTTCTGTGTTATTACCCATGCTAGAAATTGTTGGGGTTCATTTAGCAGATCAGTGTAATTTAACAAAATATAATCAACTAAGCTAAACTTAAAAGATCAAGAACTCTGAGGAGCTGTAGGAAAAATGAGGCCACAAATCTGATGTAACATGGAAGATTCTGATTTTAGGGTTACTTACTCAAATGATAGATCAGGGATTTACAGCTCCATCATAGACATTTAAACTCAGAATTAAGTCCTGCTTTATTCAACATAACTTTATCTTAAGTACATATAACAAAGGTGCAGGTTGCATAGGACTGTATCCTTAAACAGGAAACTGGTCTCCAAATGTCATGAAATCAATCATGTTACTGGAGACAGTTCAGCATGGTAAACAATACTTGTGACTGGGCATGCCAGTTTCCAGCCTGTGAGAGTGCAGATTTATATACACAAAGCTCTGCCATCTATAATAGATGTTCTACTAGTTTCATTGGAGAAAGCCAATCTGCACATGTTTTTTTTTAAGTTTTTTATTAATTTTCTCATAAACAGATTTCAGTAACATTACTATTAACAGATTTCAACATTTTTGCATACAATTTATCTTGCAGAGTCATTAATAAAACTTTCATATATAGACAATAACAACATCTAAAAAACAGACTAACTTTAACTATAGGCATGCTAACAAGTATTTCGATTTTAACTAAGTTATTTATTAGTTTCAAGACCAAGGTAAGTGATCACTTCTCCTATTCATTCAGAACCAAATCGCACTTTAGCATTATCTTCCATTATAATTCCAGTGTTATGATGACAATTATTGGTTTAGTATGGATAAGTATGTAGATTTACTAGGTTGCAGGTCAGAGGCAAAAATGAACTCCATAAAGGGAAGCCATTTCTTCGCAAAATTGGACTGTTTAGGGTAGATTTCAGATCAACGAATGTGATCTGTTATCTTTTCCAAGATTAGGTGGTCCCACACTTTATTCAACCAGCAGGATCGTGATGGAGCTTTATCTGCTTTCCATCTAGCTGCAATGGAAGTTTTAGCTGCTACGAGAAGACTAGTGATAAGGTCCCGATGAATTGATGGTATTACTATTGTGTCCCATCTATCCAAAAACAATAAAGCTGGGTCAAATGGTATGACAAAGCCGGTGATTAGTTTGATTTGGCCTAGCACATCATGCCAGAACTGTTGGATGCAGTCACACTGCCACCAACAATGTGCGAAGGTGCCGATGTTTCCACATTTCTTCCAGCAGAGTGGTGAGTGACTTGAAGTCATCTTGGAGAGTCGCTCTGGCGTCAGGTACCATCTGGTGACGATCCTGTGCGTCTGCAATTTCGTTGAGATGACCGGCGAAGTCATCAATTTAGATTTCCATATTTGCTGCCACTGAAGGGGAGTTATGGTGTTTCCACAATCATGTTGCCATTGTTGTTGCTGTCTCGTTGGTGCTTCTCCTTTTTGACGAATTAGGACATCGTATGTCGCTGTGATCATACCTTTAGACACTGTGTTTTTGGGATCAATTAGTTTTTCAAAGGGAGTCATTGGGACTTTCAGTAAGTAAGTTAGATCCAAGTGTTGAACCATGTGGTTTAGTTGGAGGTAAAAAAACCTTGGAATAGGTTTTTCCAATTTGTTTTCTAGTAGCATTTTAGATGAGAGGCCATCTTTTGTCATAATATCAATCAAACGAGTTAAGTCTGCTCTCTTCCAGCTTTCTGTTATTCCAGTGTCACATCCAGGTAAGAACCAGGATTGAGAAAGAAAAGATGTGAACCTTGAGTATTTGGGGAGTAATAATGAACGACAAGAGTCCCAATTCTTCAGGATGGCTGTCAGAAATATGTTGTCTTTTATGCTGCGAGGACGCTCACCTGATGCATTCCAAATGCACTCCTGGATCGTGATAGAAGATATCAATGGGGTTAATGGTTTGACCCAATCTATGTTGTTGCCATGGCGCAGCATCTTAATTATAGGGACCAACATTGTCGCTTTGTAATACAGCCGCAAGTCTGGGTAGTTTAGCCCACCTTGTGAAGGCCTCTTCCTAAGTGTCATAAAGTTTGTCCTCGGTCGTTTACCTTGCCAAAGGAATGAGTTTAATGTTTTTTGCCATTTGTTAAGTGTGTCATTTGATAATTCTATAGGAATTGTACGAAATAGATATAATAGTTTAGGTAGAATGAATGACCTAATTAGGTGCATTCTGTCTAAGTGGCCCAGTTGAAGCTTTTCCCATTTGTTCAGTTCACTTTTGATTTCTGTGAATTTGGATTGCACATGTTTTTCATTTTAATATAAGAAATTGATACACACACACACAGGAGAATACCTGAGCATGCTGGAGTTCTGTGTATGCATGCAGAGGTCCTACTAATGCAAATTCCCATTGACCAATAGAGGAAGGTGACCAGTCTATAGAAAATAAAGGCACCAGTAGATCAGCTCTCTCCACTGAAACAAATGAGGCACTTGAGTATATACATGGAACTGTGAATTCGGGCACCAGATAAATTAATAGGGTTGTAGTTTATTTTAAAAAATTAACATTTAAAAGAAATGTAAATCTGAGATGGAGATAGGTAACTACTAAGAAATTACAGAAGCAGTATCGAGAAAAGGAAGAAAAAGACAGACAAATGTAGCCAACCTTTGACACAGATTATATGTAAAAATAATAGAAGAAACCAACCTTTATGACACAAAGTCAACAATCTTCTTACACAAAATACGCATAAACCCATTGGGGTATCTGTGGATTCAATCATGATCAACTTTGTGTTGTGAAAATGTTAGTTTATTCATAGTAAATCCTAATAACAGCTTTAAACTTTTTCAAAAGTAAGATAGCCAGAATTTTTTTAAAAAAACAACACCCAGAGATCTTAAAAAAAAAAAACATTTGCTTTATTCTGGCACTTTCTCTCTTCTTGGTTAACCTGAAGCCACCCACAGTTCCTGTGGAACATAGAAGCAAAGTTGGGGAAGGGAGAATTAGGAAACTGCACTTCATACTTACTTCCACTCTTTAACATATTTTTTTTTCTAGCTAGTGCCATCTGTAAAACTGACACATGTTGATTAATCTC